TTCAACTACTTCCCATAGCATGTACTCCTCCTGGCCAATTCTTCCCAATTTCTTTTAAATCCTCAGCATCCAAGATCTTAATTTGGTTTAAAAAATAACACGAACCTCAATCAGTTGCAAAATAATCAATATATTACACAACACAATAATTCAAACTTTTTACATATTGTAATAACCCTAAGCCTAAATTCAGGGATTTATGGCTGAAAAACAGCAGAAGCTATGTCAGAAAGCTATGACATATTGTCAGGGAGCTGGTCACTGATCTGATTTGTGCAATCCTAGCTAAAGCAGCTTTGTCCGCTCTAAACGGGATAAGCAGCAGTGAAACAAGCTTTATCTGTCATGATCTGGAATGGATTAGACACTCTGTTGGACCCAGGAGCACATCAATGCAAATCGCAGCCAAACCATAAAGCGTACTTGTTAAACCCAGCACCACTTCTAAACAAACTGCCAATACGTTTCTGAGGCAGACTTTTAAGAACACACAGGAAATGTATGGGTTTAGTTGTTGGTCTCTAAAACAAATAACTATTCTTTAACTGCAATTTCTGCACTTTGTTCTGAGTCTACACTTTCAAAGAAACCATTAATAGCTAACCACTTTCACACCTTCTAGTCAAATGTTACAAGCCCAAAGATTACACAACAAAAATCTCCTCTTCCTCTTCTGAAGCAATCAAACACACTGATAGGGTTATCAACTCACACAACAGTGAGGAACATCAAGCCTGAGCCTCAACCGCACCTCACAACTCTACAGTTATTATCCAGCAAGGATCACTGCATAGGACTAAAGAATGGTTCATTTTTGCCTTCCGTTTGCTATGGTCACTGAAGCCAATTGCATTGTTTCAACTGATTCCCTGGCTGGAATCAAAACCTTCCTAGAATTTCTGTCTCGGGTTTTACACTAGACAGCTGTGAATTTACCAACAAAACTATTAGGGAGCTGCAATATTTTATTGAAACATCAACAAGCCATTGCATGACAGTACAAGGATATTTAAGGCAAAAAAAAGTTAGAAAGCAACACTATAAGAAACACTAATGCTTTTTTTCATGTGTCAAGTAACCAAATCAGTAAACAATAAAGTACTGAAATTTCCTGCACACTAACCATCAAATTTGCTAAAAAGGCTAAGATTATAGGGCAATCGGCTACTCACTTGCTAATAACTTTATGCGAATAGATGTTAAAACGACCTTACTTCAGATTTCAGTCAGAAGGTAGGAGGAAAGATAACTTCAAAAGAAACCACATTACAAGCAGCAAACGATAAAGGTCAGCCAACTCATGCACACCCAACTTACTTGAATGAAGGCACTTCATTTATCTGTAAACAAACATTTACAAGTTTCTATTCATTCCCAGTAGAACGATTACACATTTTTATTTTCAGGTTTCAAAAGTAAGTTCAAAAGACTAAACTATGCAACTGGTGTATGTGACAATGACTAACCTGAAAGCCTAACACTTCTACAGAACATACTTTAACCCTAATATTATTTCCAAGCAAAAATCTGTTCCGATATAGAGGAACTCTCACTGAGTGGTTGAACTCCACAAATGTTAACAGTATATTTTGTTATCTCCCTCTCCCACAGAATCTCAGCAAACCTTTAATTCTAGAATATTGCATAGATTTTTTAATTAGTAGATCATAGATACATAGATAAACCTTTTTAACATTAAGCAAAACATCTCTGCTGCTGAATCTGACAATCTGAACAAGATTACAACTCAGTGCAAAATAGTATTCATAACCAGGAGCACCAGAGCATAAAAATGTTATCCCACAAGATATCCAGCAATATCTCATCAATTGTAATCTGAAGAGAATTCCAAAGTGTAGTCCTGCCTTCGGTGTATCTGTATTTGCTCAAATACAAACAACATCTTGCAGGGATTAAAACGTACCTTCCAGTCGCTCAGAAGAGGTTCTCTGGCTGAATTGAAGCGGTCTTTCAACCACGATATAGCACCACATACCAAACACACTGAGTTATGGCAGTTTCTGAGAACTGCGTCAAATGACTGAATATAGCAAAATACTGCAGATGCTGGAAATCTGAAAACAAAAGCAGAAGTCGCTGAAAACACTCAACAGGTCAGACAGCATCTATGGAGAAAGGAAAGTGAGTCAACGTTTCGGGTCCATGACCCTTCTTCAGAACTAGGGCATTTGGGAGGGAGGGCTTTTAAGGGCTAATAAGAAAGGGGGGAGGCAGGGCAAGGAAGACAAAGGAGAAAATGGAGTAGCAAACCCATCATCCCCTGTTCTCTACCCCCTTTTCTCCTCTGTCTTCCTTGCCATGCCCCTCTCTCTGTTAACCCTTAAAAGCCTCTCCCTCCCAACATGCCCCAGTTCTGACGAAGGGTCATGGACCCGAAACGTTGACCCTCTTTCCTTTCTCCTTAGATGCTGCCTGACCTGCTGAGTGTTTCCAGCGACTTCTGTTTTTGTTTTGTGAATATACTGGTATTTTGATTCTGGTGCTAATTTTATTGTGCATATTGAAACATTCCGAGTCCACAGCAAGCAACATAAATCTATTCTTCAGTCTGAATACATAGGTGTATGTATTCCAGTAATCTGCTGCCAGTACAGTGCTGCGACACAGGAACAGAATATATAACATTGCACAACACTTAAATTCCCACGTGACCCACTCACTTACATTGTACTGCCTCTACTCCACTCAACAAGAAATATTAAGCAAGCATGCTGTCAAAAACGTATGCACGTTCACATCTAAACACCCTCTTAAAAAATTGAAAACCTGTACAATGTCCTGCTGAATAAGATTCTTCTCTCTCCCCCCTCCCCAACCACCTGAGGCAACCTTACGTAGGACACAACTAATGAAGTTTCACAGAGGGAAACACCAGATTCTCCCAGTAATCTATTGGGGGAATGGGGCAAGAATAAAATAACCAATTTACTGTATAGCTTTCACTTTGAAGTTTATCATCTTTGATGACGTTCCAGCACTCTGAGATACTCTCAAGTGTGAAGGACCCCATATAAATGAAGTAGTTGTTATGTATGTGGAGGTTGGAAACAAAGGCTGGGAGACCACACAAATAATTAAAATCAATAAATGACAGGTATCAATCAAGCAGTTGCCCTTCCATTTAGTTTAAGATTTCATGCAACGTTCATCCACTTCAGAACGCTGAAAATAAAATTGATGGGAGTTTGGACTTTTGTGCTGGAGAAATTCTCGTGGAAAATCTCACGTTTGAGCGTTGGGACCTGCCGGATGGGCCTAAACAGCCTGTTCCAGTTCTGCACATTCCTGCATTACTAATTTACTTTTAAAAAAAAGTACATTTTTTGTGGACGTTCCGCTCTGGACATGACAAAGTGCTACATCGAATGCAAGGATTATTATTATAATTATTATGAATGAAAACAAAAAAATCGCAGTTTACAAAGCACTATGTTTACTGATGTAAATCCAAATTTAGTTATCACCTTCCTAACATGTTCAGACTGTATTTTTCTAAAAAAAAAGTGAACAGTTTAGGGAGATTCCTTCAATTACTAAGTGGCGTTTTCTACAGCAAAAAAGCACATGCAAATATCCACTCGCAGGGTTGGGAATCAGGATTGTGAAGCCATGTTTCCAACATCTGGATAAAAACAGCACAACATCAGTAATTTCATACCAATTAACTTACTCACAAATTCTTTCCCCCTGGTACCGTTTAGGTAAACATGCAGCTGTTTGGCCAAAGTTCCACTGCTGACAAAAATGACTTTTTTTTCCCCCCCAATTTCTTATCTCTGAACAGCACTGAAATCACAATGAATATTTTCCCAAAGAAGCGGCGTATACCCAGTTCTCTGCCCTCGGCTGTGTCTGGTTCCAGTGGGGCCCTACAAAACCGTTTACTGGACGAACAAACACTGCTTGTACTTGGGCCAGTTTTAAAAAGCGTTCCTGGTGGAAAAAAAGAACATCAGAAAATCTATCCTCCTCCCCCCCCCCACCCCCTCCCCACCCCCCCACATTGCTGCAGCCCGCTCTAGGGTATGGGGAAACACTTGGGGCTGTGTACGATTTGGGGACTAAACGAGTAAACCACTCACCCCGTTATACCAAAACGCAGGGCAGCATTTTTTTTTAAAAAAAATAAACTTTTTTTTTTGCCTCGTCTCAGATGAATGGTGTTTTGGTTCCCCCCCCCTTTCCCCCCCCCCCCCCCCAAAAAAAGGCAAAAATGTGTGTGTTTTTTTAATCTGGGCTCTTGGCTGTCCGTCTGTCGCACGAATAAAAACACACACACAACACACACACACACTTCAAGGGTGTTGTCCTCTTTGGATACCGTTTATTCCTCCGCACCACGATTGCTTATATTGACCCCCAAAGCTCCCCCCCCCCCCCCACCCCCTCCTCCTCCCCTCCACACAGCAAGAAATAAATAAGAACTGAGCGCACTCTTCAGCCCTTCTTCTTTTTTTTTAAAAAAGGAAAAACATTAACGAGTCACGTTTTCCGACCTGAGCAAAAAAAAAGGGGAAAGGTGCAAAGATGTTGGCGACGGTATTAAAATGGTGACTCCCGGGGAGTGGGGGGGGGGGGGGGGCTCCAGTGTGAAGGGGAGGGGGGGATAAAAATGGTGGGGGGGGGGGGGTGAGAGCAACGGTAAAAAAAAATACAAACCAACCAACAAACCACCGAGAGACCAGAAGACACATGTGAATAATAAAACAAGACAACAACATGGTCTGAACCAGACAAACCCCCCCACCACCACCCCCCCACCCCACCACCCCACACCCCCCCCCCACCACCACCACCCCACCAGAAAAAAAAAGGGTCGTGAATAAGCCACCGTGTGGGCTTTTCTGCGAAATATTTTTTATACACACATATAACACACACACACACACACATATATATATATATATATATAGAGAGAGAGAGAGAGAGAGATAAACGTCTGCGGTGATGAGGGTCACTAACGCCGTGTGTGTGTGTACCTGAGCGGCCGCTGTGCCGGACACCCCGTTCTCTCCCGAAGTCAGCGCCGGCTCCAGCCTCTGCCGCTTCGCCTCAGCCCCCGCGGGATCTCCCGGCTCCTCGTCCCGCTTCAACCCCCGCAGCATCCGCTCGGGGCCAAAGCCGCTACTACCAACCACCGCCTCCGCCGCCATCGGGCTTCAGGGAGTACAACGAGAGGCGGAGGGAGGAGATGGAGGGAGGGGAGGGAGGGAGGGAGGAGGGTAAAGCCGTCACAGGGAGTGGGCGGGCGGGGAAGGAGGCGGCAAAGATGGGGGAAGGAGGGAGGGAGGGAAGAGGGAGAGCGCGCGGGCGGCACGACGCCGGGAGACTGACTTGTTAGTTTCGTTTTTTTTTAAAAAATTAAAATTAATTGTAATTATTCATAAAAAAAATATTTTTTTCTTCATTATTTCACCACAAAAACAAAAAGGACTTTTAACCACTCTCCATCCCCGGAGGGAGAGGGGGAGAGAGAGGGGGGGAAACAAACCCGACAAAAGAGCAGCAACTACACCCACATCGCCCCCCCCACCCCCAGCACCGTGAGGGGGAGCTTCACCGACTGCCTCACGGCGAGGGTGAGGGGGGGGGGGGGGGGAAGTTTTCCCTCAAGGAAAAGAAAATGGAGGCGGAGAAGGAATGGCTGTAAATATACCGCGCGCGCGTGTGCGTGTGTGTATGTGCTATATATTCAGTGTTATCAGAGGCTCTCAGCGCGGCTGTGAGGGGGGATTTTTTTTTTGAGGAGGGGGTCGGTCTCGCCATCGGGCAGTAGTTAGTTGGCAGCTTTCTGGGCTCTCGCTGTCGCGCGCATGCGTTTGCCTCCCGCCCCGGGGGTCGGCCTCGGGAAGCTTCGCTCGGCAGCACGAGCCCAACCGTCGCCTCGCGCCTCGTCCCCAGGGACGCGGAAAGCGGCAGGTGCGCATGCGCCCGCGCGCCTCCGAGGCACGATCGGGCCGGGCGGGGGAGCACGTGACGCGGACTCGGGTAGCTCTCGGCTGCGTGCCTTTCCGAGCAGCTTTTCGGCAAAGATCGGAAGCGTTCGGCTACTCGGCTCCCTTGACCAGCTCTGGACAAAGGACGGGGGGGCGGGAGCGAGGAGAGAGAGACAGCGCGAGGGAGAGAGGGCACCAACGGGCGGACTGGCAACACCGCGAAGTGTTTTACCTGAAAGAGAATTTTGTTTGCGGGACATCAACAGCCGGCGGTTTCTCTCCAGGTCCCGCAAAACTCGGGAAAAGTCGGCTGCCAGTGACGGGACGTGCGGACATGCCGTGGGGTTGCTGTGGTAACCGAAGACGCCATCGCCGGACAGCGTCCCCGCGCCCCACAGCGACCCCCATCGGCACTAGACCGCACTGCACTGAGGAGCCTGTTTTCCAGACACTGGATGGGATGTAACCAACATCAGAGGTTTTTCCAAAGCTCTTCGCTGCAATTACTCTCCCGTGAGGTGACGATGAACGGTATATTGCACGGAAAGGCGCCCCCTCTCCCCCCCCAAGCCCCCCAGGCAGAGAATAATCCATCCAGCTCGCGATCACAAACACACTGCACACAGTTACTACACTTTGCAGAAAACTCCAAGCAGCTCAGTTCTAATTTCCAGTTGAGTCATTGAATATTTAACATTCACCGTAACAGTAAGGCATGACCCTGATTTAACATCTTACTAAAAGGGCCGCACCACTGACAATACAGTGGTCATGTAACACTATACTAGAGTGAGCCTAGACTGGGAGCTCAGACTGTAATCATTCAACACTTAACAATTTAACAATACACTCGCAATCCAGTCAGCAGACTACAGTAATATTTTTAATTATATCATGGAAGGCTGCTTCTACAAAGACAGGGCATGCAAATCCCAGAGTCTGGTTGCTAAGGCAGTCTTGTTGTTGAGAGACATTTGTCAATAAGCTTCCAGTCTTATTATTTGCCTTCAGATGTTGTGGAATTGAGGATCTTTCATCTACTTAAGACCCATTGACAAAACATTAACTTTGAGAAAACAGGATGGTCTGGTGATTTCTTTTATCAACAAAATCAAGCGTCTCAACAAAGAACCCAGCTTTGTTTACTCCGTGTAAATTGCTGCATCAGAATGCATGTTGTAATTTGCAACCATGGGCACGCATTGGGCACTAACACCTACTGATTATATCTCAACACACTTCATTTAATAATAATTTGGTCACTCAATCCACGACTGTTTGTGGAATACTGCTGTGCAAAATTGGCTGCTGAATTTTGCTCATAAAGTACACACTGTACAGTATATTATGTGAAGCGCTTTGAGACGTCTTGATGATGTGATAAGGCACCATATCAAATGCAAGAATTATTATTCTTTAAAAACAAACAGTATATATCACTACATCTCATAAGGAAAAGAGCCCGCATTCCTGCTCTGCCCACTCTGGAATCAGAGATTGGGTCTTCTGCAGCAAGTCACTTCTGCTGCCAGAGGAAAAAGGCGCTGTAACGTTCAGGAATCAGGCAGCCTTGTATTGGTAGCTTCACGATACACACTCTCCCCTCCTCCTCGCTCACTGCAACCTCATTAACATTTGCAGAACCTGGGCAAAAAAATGCCGGAGAGCCGACATTCCGGTACGGCTCCATCCTCCACTACCATTACCTCAGTATTGGGAGGAAAATCCCGAACGGGTCCCGCACATTCCTTGTGCACCACATGTTTTCTACCTGCGGGCAAAACAGTCTGCATTAAAAAGAAATAAGAATGGTTACACAGCTCGTCCACAAGAGGGTGCAGAAAATCCACATTGCACTGAAGCAACAGCCTCTACCGTGAACTCAAAATACTGCTGTCGGCACTTGAACCCACGACTTTTTGACTCGGAGGCGAGAGCCCTACCCACTGGCCAGACTGACATTAACACAGATATAAATAGCTGCGTGTAATCGCTCAATAATGAAAACGTTGGATGGATAACTTTCGAATAAAAACAATCATAGAATCTGACAGCGTTGTGCCAAGATTCCAAGGCTGTCATGTTCGTGGCCCAGTCGGGAACAGAGTCAAGTAAGCTTTCAAGTTTCTCCCTTTCCGCCACATTTCAGCATGAGGGAATTTCACTGGCAGAGAGAAAACTGAAGGAAGGAAATACTCTTCCACCAACCATATTCCCAGAGTTCAGTAAAAGTTTGATATTTATTTAAACCAGTGATAATGTACAAGTCGATCAAAATTAAAATGCAAGCTTAGTCAGGTGCTAGCAACGTATACAGGTATATTTTCTCTATATCTGGTAAGCTATGTTCTCTCTGTGTATGCCCTCCCCCTCCTATGGCAAGTATAACTGTGCAGCCGAATATCCCATTATTGTTACTCAGAAACCACCTGCTTGAAGATGCTCTGTCTCCGTGAAGCACTTTGAATTGCGTGCAATGTGTTGTTGAGGCGACAGTTGAGCGTTCCTCCTCACCGAGGGAGGCAAAAATCAGGGGGAGCGTCATGGGAAGATCCCTGGAGCGGGACGAGGAGGGTAACTCTGTAGCCCGCTGTTCGGTGCTGAAATACACCAGCGTTCTGCACAGTTCCCCCTCTTCACTGTACCTTTTCTCAGGAAAGGCTGACCTGGCTGAGCAGCAGCACACGACTGACCGCCTCTGACTAAAGCTCCACACACTCGCCCAATACTTGAATTTCAAACACTTCCATCGAGTGCTCCAACTGCATCGGCAAAGTGGATTCGAGGGGCCTGTCGCAGGGACCCTTCCCCCGCAACCTCACCAGCGAGGCGATCCGAGCCCGTAGACGGTTCTCACGCTTCTTACAGGCTCTCAACTCTTTACTGGCTTTGTCAAAGGCCTCCTTCAGAGCCTCTGCTCTCTTCTTCCAGTACAGAGGACAGTCCACAGTGTAGCTGTGTTCCATGGGGATGTAGGCTGCAGGCAGAGGAGGGGCGCTAGGGATCCGAGCCATATAGAAGGCAAAAGGAATGGGAGTCCTGTCCTCCTCCACCTGTAAATGTTCAGCTTCAGTGGAGGGTTCAGTCAAGTGGTCAGGTTGAAGAGAAGAGCCATCATTGGCGACTTCCTCTGTAAGCGTGGACTGACTGATCTGAGCTTCGTACTCCACTGCCTCAGTGGAGTACACCACATCCGAGCCCAAAGCCTCCAGCTCAATCACACAAGGGGAGGCAGGCACTTCGGTTACTGGTACTTCAGCCACTATTTCACACGAGGAGATTGGTTCGACAACACTCTCATTACAAGTGTTGACCTCAGCAAGAGATGCTCTGGATTCGAAAATGGAAGTGCATGCAGAGATCTCAATGGCCGGCAGCAGGGTGTCGTCATTGGTCACCAGGACTGTAGCTTCTTCGTATGTCTCAAGGGGTATAGAGGTCTCAACGGCGAGGCTGACGGAAAGGGTGAAAGACAATTATAGATCAGATCGAAAACCCGAAGCTCTCAAAAACCGACGCTCTCCAACGCGGTCTAGAGTTAAACCAAACACTGCTTTTTCTAGCCAGGTTCCAGTGTAAAGTGCTTCGAGCCATTATCCTACATGAAAGGAATTACACAGTACAGCAAGTTAGCTGAGGTGACATTCCGTCTCTGTGAAGCGCTTTGAGATGTGTGGGGTGGTGCTAGCAAAAATCTGGGTGCAGGGGTCAGGGGGGGAACTCCCTGAGAGTGGGACGAGAAGGGAAAACCCACTGCTCGATGCTGCAATACATCAGCGTTCTGCACAGTTTCAAGTTGAGGTCTGCGCTATGTTGAGAGACTACATCCGGTTTCCTCACCATTTTGCAATGTCCACAATTGCTGTTGCCTTTTGTCTCTTTGTTGCCTTCACCCCGATCTTCCACCGAGTGGAAGGTTCGAATATGGTTGGCAGAGCATCATCTTTCAGTCGGTGATATCCACTGGGAGAGGGAACACAATAAGGGATGAAGCTCGTATAGGCGTGTGCCGTTGCTTGGCTCAATGAGGCTCAGTCGGTAGCACTGTCACCCCTGAGTCAGAAAGTTGCGGAGTTCAAATTCCCATGTTGGGACTTTGAACTCAACAGTCCAGACTTAAATTGCACTATAGTGGTGGGAGCACAGATGAAAAAAGATTGGTCGTGGCTGTTTATGGGACATCACTGTGAACAAATTGCCCGCAGGTGGTCACACGGTTGCTTGGACTCAGCACCTTTGGGAGAGTACAGCAAAAAATAACTGCCTCAGTCTGTGAACACAGCACAAGCGTTAAAACTTTTTTTNGAATTCAGCATTGAAGCTCAGACAGGAGTACCACCTGTGTGAAACCCCCCCGACAGCTACCATTCAGCTGTCGGGGGGTTTGGGGAGGAGACAATGGTCTGAAATAGGTTGAGAATTACCTGACTCCCACGAGCTCGAAGCTGTTCCTCTCAAAGTGCTTTGAACAGAAGTAAATAAACTGTGAAGTGGGATCCCAGGGTCCGGTGCCCGACGCGTTTGTACGGCAGCAGTTTTCGAGCCAGAACAACCGACGAGGGCTCCCTTTCTTTGGCAGCCTGCAAACAAAAAGACAAGAGGGATCAGAAGATTCCTGCTCACCAATGAGGCCAACTCCTTTCAATTAACTCAGCACCAACTAGTGCAGGAACACGAGAGACGCAACCAGGGATGGTTTGCTGAGGGAAGGGTGAAGGCAGAGCAAAATTGATTTTGTATCTGATCTGGGAGCGGTTGATTTAATGACAGGTGCACGTTTTCTTGGTCTGAACATCATTGGAAGCTGGGACAGTGAATAAAGGCAGGCCAGGCTGAGTGACTGCTGGGCAAAACAGGTAAGCCCACGGATTCTTCCTGCATGAACGGTCGTTCGGCGTTTCCCAATCCACGTCTATTGTGTACCTGTGAAATGTTATCCCAGTCTTCCGGGATTCCCGCGTGTCCCTGGACCTGCAGCCCTGCACCGAGCAGTGGCGCGGCATTCTGAGGAGACCGCTCCGATCTGTAACTGAGAAGAAAGTTCAAGCTGGACACTGTCTAGGATTGTGGCCGTCATTCGTTTAGCTCCACCTCCAAATCGAGGACTGAATTCTCGCCGTCCCACTGGTGAAGAAGAAAACAACAACTTGCGTTTATATACTGTCCTTTACGCAGGGTAGCGTCCCGGAGCCTACACAGAGAAGATCTGCGAAAACATAACCAGAGATCAAGCAACTGATCCCCTGCTCGTTTATGTGGACATGGGTTGAAGATGGAATTGGCTCTCCCAGCGTCCTAACTGACAACACAACCACGTTAAAGAAAGTTGCTCGATCACGTCAGGGCCGTTGGCCAGGAACGTCAACGTGCACAAGCCGACTGCGGCACCTGCCCGACAGTCACTACACTTCACAGTGAAACGCTTCTCGGCGGCATAGCGCCGCGTGAAGCGATAAAGGATCAGCAACGATGCATCCGACAATCCCACAGTCTCTCACACTGGGGGGGGGTCAAGAACTCGCCTCTGACTCCATTGGAGACCAAAATACCGCCACCCCCCCATCATCATCATCATCACTGATGGCCTCAGATGGCCCTCATTAGCTGCAGTACCGGATACAGTTAGCCCTCCAGACATTCTTCAACGCCTCCCCCCCCCCCACACACCCACACACACACCCCCTCCCCTCTACACGTTCTCTGCTGCACGGACTCCCCCAACACCTTCCTCACACACAACCCCCTTCCTCCCCCTTTTTCCTTTGACTCACTTGGCTCCCAGCTCGACCTCACCAAAATGGCGCCCGCAGCGGCTCCGCTCCGCACCGCGCCCGTGCCCCAGCGGGGAAAGCCCCTCTGTCACCCATGATGCGCCGCGGCGTCGGCGGCGGCGCCTCTTCAGCCCCGGGCGGCGCTGCACAAACCACCCGCCCCCTCCCTCGCTCGCTCGCCGCGGCGCGGCCCAATGCGCGGCTGGACACGGACTCCGAAATAGCTCCTTCCCTCCTTTTAGGTCAGTTCGTCTCCGGGGGGTAGCGCGGCGGTTGAGGGTGGAACAGAGGGAAAGGCCCGCGGGCCGCTTCGGGAGCATGCGCAGACTGGCTGGCGGTCAGGAGAGGGAGGGAGGGAGGGAGGGGGAGATGAAAAAGGCCCGCGGGCCGCTTCGGGAGCATGCGCAGACTGGCTGGCGGTTGGCTGGTGGGGGGGGGGTAGAGAGGAACAGGCCCGCGGGCCGCTTCGGGAGCATGCGCAGACTGGCTGGCGGTTGGCTGCCGGTGTGTGGGGGGGGGAGAGAGGAAAAGGCCCGCGGGCCGCTTCGGGAGCGCGCGCAGAGCGAGCGGGCGGGCGGGCGGGAGGGAGGGAGGGAGGCGCGCGCTGGCGGCTTGGCGCCAGACGCACGGCCGCTCGCGCCCGCCGGGCGCTCCGCCCTGTGAGGTGGGACGTGAGTGACAACGTCAAGACGCTCCCCGACGCGGGTCAGCCCCGCGCCCCCTCCCCCCCCCTCCCCCCCCCCCAAAAAAAAAGGCTGAGAGGTTGTTGCTCCCGAGGAGACGAGGTTAGTTAGTGCGGCTCCTGCCCCCCCCCCCCCCCTCCGCCCCCCCCCCAGAGGCCGTGCGAGAGGCCGGGGCTTCGCGAGGCGGCACTGCCGAGGCCTCGGGAGGCGGGGGGGGGGTATCAAGGGCCGCCGTTGGGTTCACGGCGACTCCTTCAGGCGGACCCTCTCACCCACCTCAGGGATCAGGACCCCACCCCCTCCTGGGATTAGGGCTCACCCACAACCCCTGAGGGTGGGAGGGGGTCAGGAATCACCCCCACCTCCTGGGGTCAGGGCTCACACCCCTCTACCCCTGGGATTAGGGCTCAACCCTTCTCCCCCCCCCCCCCACCACCCCAGGGATCAGGGCTCACCCCCACCTCCACCCCCTGGGGGTCAGGAATCACCCCCACCTCCTGGGGTCAGGGCTCAACCCTCCCCCCACCACACACACCCCAGGGGTCAGGGCTCAACCCTCCCCCCCCCCCACCACCCCAGGGATCAGGGCTCACCCCCACCTCCACTCCCTGGGGGTCAGGAATCACCCCCACCTCCTGGGGTCAGGGCTCAACCCCCCCCCCCCACACCCCAGGGGTCAGGGCTCAACTCCCCCCCCCCCCCCACCACCCCAGGGATCAGGGCCCTCCCAAACACCCACACACTGATTTTCTTGGTAGAACGCCTTTCACATCAGGAGGATGTCTCGGAACCCTTCGCAGGATTTACTGTAAAGTGTAATGACTCAGTGTTGTGAGGGTGAACCTCGTACTCTTTTTTTCCCCCCTCACCCCTCCTCCCGCTTTCTAACTTACACTGTGCGACTTACACTGCTTGAGCTGTGGCGCTGAGGGTGGGTTAATGTTTTGCCTTTGACGCTGTGTATATAGAATAACACACACACACACGGCGCGGCAAACCAAAACAAGCCTGGCTTCTTCTACAGTGCTTACACGGCACGCATTCTGAACGATACTGGGACTGGCGCATCAGGTCGTAAGTAACCTGCTTGTGTTCAAATCCCCTTCCCCCCCCCCCTCCCCGTTTTCAGGTGCGGCCACCCGGAGAGGAGGAAGGAGCACGATGTCCGAGCAACTTCACAGCATCAACTTGCAGAATTTCAGCAAGTCGCTGCTGGAGACGCTCAACGCCCAGCGGCTGGGGGGACACTTCTGCGACGTGACGGTGCGGATCCACAGCACGGCGCTGCGTGCCCACCGCTGCGTCCTGGCAGCTGCCAGCCCCTTCTTCCACGACAAGCTCCTGCTGGGCTACAGCGAGATCGAGGTGCCGCCACTGGTGTCGGCGCAGACCTTGCGGCGCCTGGTGGACTTCATGTACAGCGGCTCGCTCATGGTGTCCCATGTGGAGGCACTGCAGATCCTGACGGCGGCCAGCGTGCTCCAGATCAAGACCATCATCGACGAGTGCACCAGGATCATCTCTCAGAACGCCGCGCAGAAGAACCAGGGTCAGCTCCTCCAGCCGTTGGCCAACCAGAAGTTCGACCTCTCGGACGACAGGGAGGCCAATATCTGCCAGACCGTCAGCGAGCAGTTGCACAAGCTTCCTTTCGGGTTAATCGAGGCCGCGTTGTCGCCCCACACGGCCGAAAAAGAGATCGATTTTACCCGTGGGACAGCCAAGAATCTGCCTGGTGGTGAGCTTGCCTATAAAGCAGAGGACATGAGCCCTTCCCTGTGCAGGCAGCCTGGGCATAACAAGGCAGCTGGAGATCATCCTGACCAAGAGAGTGTGGGTCTGATGGAGGGGGGCCGGGGCGGGGACAGCCGGCCCCTATGGTACAACGTCGCTGCCAATCAACGGGGTGAGACTTCACTCTACGGGCAGGGCGGGCACAGCAGAAAGCAGCGACAGCCAATCCGCCTGCTGATGTCGGATGGCAGTCAAGTGACCATCAAGGAGGAGGACGATGACCTTCTATACTGTGGGGAGAGTGCCGCCGTGGCCCCGGCTTCCGATCAGCCCAACGAGCCAGTCGAGCATGAGGAGAGAGCCGAGGAAATGCCCGAGACCAGCACCTTCGACCCCAGCCAGAGCACAGGGGGGGAGAGGAGGGACTCTGGGGGTGCCCTGACATTGAGCAGCCGAGGAGAGGAGATGGAGTTTTTCAATGCCAGCGATCTCCTGCCGGAGGAACTCAAGTCTTTCTGGCAGGGCACCGACAAAGAGGACAAAGACCCTTCGTTACAGCACAACCGTAAAGTGGACGCCAAGTTGCACATGGATACCTTTTCCCGGCCGTCGACATTTATGCAGGACTTTCTCCCCACGCCTGCTCTCCATCCTGGAGGGCCAGCCAGCCAGCGCCCCCACGGCTGCTCCCTGCAGTACGATCTCCAGGCTGATGCTGGGGCCCCAGGCCTCTCTGGCAACCGTAACCTGTTCCAGATGAGTGTGCCACACTCCCCCCACAGCGTGCACCTGCCAGCCTTGCCCTCCACCTCGCAGAGTTGCGTCTCCAGCCTCCCGGCTCAGGGGCAGCCCCAGAACCCGCAGGCATTCCAGGACCAGGCAGGGTCAGGCCCTCCTCAGCCCGGCCAGGGTCCCAACGAGGCTGAGCGTAAGCCCTACGGATGCGCCCAGTGTGGGAAGACATTCAGCTCCAGACAGAATTACGCGAAGCACATGTTCGTCCACACTGGTAGGTCAAGGGAGACTTTCTTTTTCCTTTCTTTTTTTGGGGTCAGCCAGAAACCCGTCATGGTGCCTTGTAAGCGAGGGTACCTGAGTTTGATTCCAGGGTGAAACCTTAGACAGTTTTTCTTACTTCACAGACCCCTGTTTACCTTGCAGTAACTAGGAACCCTGCCGTCAATTGGGGGATCACTTTCTGGGGGTAATAATCCCTTCCCCGAAATAAATTTTGTCATTCAATCCACGACTGTTTGTGGCACACTGCTGTTTATTTTGCCCACAAAATACACAGTCACTACACTTTACAATATACTCTGTGAAGCACTTTGAGCTGTCAAATGCAAGGATTATTGTTTATATAAGAGTATCCAAATCAAACTGAGAATTCCATGCGTCCCACTTACACGTGGAAATCCCAGAGATAGATTGTTGGAATGGAATAAGCGCTGTCTCTCTGGGGAGACACATCCTGCTTACCTAATTCCGAAAAGAATTAAGCCCAAGTTAGCAAAAACTAAGTTTGGGGGCTCCAGATTGTGCATTGGGGCACCAGCTTATCGAGCTAAAACCACATAGTTTGCCCATTGAGAGCACTGTCTGGTAAGCTTTCCTGCTGCTTGTCCAGCTAGGACCACCCTACGGGTTAGGGCTTTGGCTTGCAGGGCTATTTTTTTCTTGGTCAGACGCTTCGCTGTAAGTACTGTGCAGTGTGTTTGTAGGTGAACACGGCAACTGGTTTGCGCACAGACAAACACATCTCCGCAAAAGCTCCCTTCAGTAGAGCATTCCATCTGAGGTGGGGGACGTTGCTGCTGCCGGTCAGTGTCTAGTGACCACTGTCAGGAGGTGATCTCAGGACGCAATCAGTTTGAGCTGCCGACGCTCACTGATTGACGAGTCTCCCTCGCGAATAAGCTCACGGGCCAGGTACCAGAGGGTGACTGGCACCTGTGGAAGCTCACGCCAGCAGAATGTGGGAATGTGTTCAGGAGAGAAGAAAATCTGATGAAGAGAGAAAAAACAGCTCTTTGTTCTCTGTCTCTCTCTCCTGGCACGGCAACACAGGCCTTTAATATCCAGCAGAGCTGGCTGTGTGGCTGTCTTTGTTTTGTCAGAGCCAGTGTCAAAGATAACCGGGTCCAATGCTGCTTAATGTAGCTCATACAGTACAAGGTTACAGGATATGAAACATTTACAATTTATAATTTAGTAAAAGCAATTGGATCCCCCTCTCTCTCTCTCTCTCTCTCTCTCTAAGTCCCCTCTGTTTGTTCCTCTCGGTGTCTGAGCCCTGACCGGCCGTTAGCATTTGTTTTCACAGAAAACATCTTTTGCAGGGTTTTGTTTCCCAGAAAACATGTTTTTTCAGAGCAGGAAAGAACACACAGTACTCCCGCTCGGTTTATTGGCTGAGATTTCCTTTGCCTCGGGTCTGGCGAGGAAGCTGGCCAGTTCCTTCTCTGTCGTAACGGTCGCATCCAGAATATTTTACTTAATTCCAAAAAGGAGCCTTTGGGATATCTGCCTGGGAACTATCGTCGGGGCCTGGGGAGCCCCAGAAATCTTCTGTTTTGTCAACGTTACAGGATGTTTATGTCTTAAATTTTCAATCTCTCACCAAACACTCTTATCTTCTCTCTTACCCCCCCCCCCCCTTCCCCACCTTCAAAGATAACGTCAAAATGTTTCAAAGTGCTTCACAGGCAATTGCTGTCACTCACTAGTTCTTGGAGGTGAATGCAGTTGTACCCATCTCAAGAACCCCCTCTTCGACCATGCCTTCGGTCACCTACCCTCCCCGCCCTCCACCCCTCCTGATCCCAACCACCAGCTTGGGTGCGGATCGCTGAACGCCCAGTGCTTTGGGACTTCCTCCTGATGTGAAAGGCGCTGTGTAAATGTCATTTGTTGTCATTGCCCTGAGACGCTGCCACGCCTGAAGGGCGCTGTATAAATTCAAGGTGTTGTTGTAAGGAAACGATTGCTGTGCTCTGATTCCTGTTGGTTTTCTCTTTTCTTCCCCCCACCACCACCACCCTCTCCTGATTCCCACCCACCTCAACTCCCCCTCCGCAGGTGAGAAACCCCATCAGTGCAGTGTGTGTTGGCGTTCGTTCTCGCTGAGGGACTACTTGATAAAGCACATGGTCACGCACACGGGGGTGCGGGCGTATCAGTGCCCCGTGTGCAACAAACGCTTCACGCAGAAGAGTTCCCTTAACGTACACATGCGGCTGCACCGCGGGGAGAAGGCCTTCGAGTGTCACGTCTGCAACAAGCGCTTTTCCCACAAGACTCTGCTGGAGAGGCACATGGCCACGCACATCATTTAACTTTGGCTAGGCCAAGCCAAGCCACGCCAAGCCCACCCGGGAGAAATCAGAGACACCCATTCAAGCAACCTGGAGTGCACGTAGCGTAGTGGTTAGAGCGCTCGCCTCGCAAGCGAGAGGACCTGGGTTCGACTCCCGACTGGGAAGAAACCTTAGGCAAGTTTTTTTACTCCGCACACACGCTTCTGTTTACCCAGGAGTAAGTAGGAACCCCGGTTGTTAGTCGATTGGCAGATCGCTTTCCGGGGGCAATAATCCCTCCACACACAACAAAAAAATTAGGTCACGCAATCCGCGACTGTTGGTGGGACACTGCTGTGCACAATTAGCTGCACGTTTCACCCACACAATACACAGATAATCCACTTTACAATATATCCTGTGAAGCGCTTTGAGACGTCTCAACGACGTGATAAGGCTCTGTATCAAGTAATAATGGTAATACTTGCATTTGATATAGCGCCTTATCACATGTTCTAGTCGTCTCAAAGCCCTTCACAGAATATACTGTAAAGTGAATTGTCTATATTTTGTGGGCGAAATCAAATATAAGGATTATTATTATTTATTATAACCTGGGCGCGGACCATGCCTGACTCACAATACACTAACCTGTGATTTAAATCTTACACCAGCTTTGGGGGGAGTGGATATATATAATACCATAATGGTCTCTCCAGCACAGCGCCTGGCTATGTGGTCTGTGCACAAAGATGTTACACAGCAAAGACCATTGCGAGTGCTCTGAGGGGTTTTAAAGAGAGGGAGAGGGGGTAATACACTGGTTAGCCAATGGGATGGTGTGGTGGGATAATCTACTGACCTTTCCGACTGTGGCCCCTTTGTCTTGTTCGGTTCCCCCTGCCCCGAACCCATGGGTCAGTGAGTGTGTGTGTGTGATGGTGACCATTCATGTTCTGGGTATTGGGGATGGGGGTGGGGGGGAAAGGAAATGGCTGTAAATATAGCCTAACTCTCAGTCGCAAGGTTTTTTTTAAAAAAAGAAGAAAAAACGTAAAATAATGAATCTAACTTGCAATTGGTGCCTTTTTACAAATTGAACAAAAATGAAAGTGAAATATTTTTGTTGCCTTGTTAAAAAAAAAAGTTTCCAATGGTGCGTGGGGATGTGGGGGGGGGGGGAGAGAGAGAGATTGGAGATCTGAGATTGGGGTTAAAACCAGCCTCACTCACATCCCCCGAGAGAGATTGATGGCTGGAGACTGACTTACAGGTGCTGTCATTCCTCAGTCTATACTCCCACATTCCATTCCTTGCCTCGGAGATGACATTGCTGGCGTCTTAAGCACTTATCGTCACATCAGCAGGAATCTCTTATGGTAGGAATGAGAATTCCTCAAGTCTGATCCCCTATAAAGAAAGTGTCCTTCAGTCATCGCACAATAGCGCTTGGTACGTCGTGGCTCTCCAGTAATGTGCGTTTTAAGCACAAACGTTTCACCTTATCTAAGCTAATTTCTCACGCTGTGCACCTTTGTAAAATGAATGAGTATTTGGACCCGCTTGATTTAGATGCTTGGTTAAGGAATGGGGGGGGGGGGGTGAATAACGAACGGACTGATGACAATTACTGCAGTATTCTAAGGTGTCATTTCACTACCATGATAAAACAGGATGACTGGTAAACAGTGAGGAATTTTATATTGGGGTCCGTTTTTTTTCATTTGTGCATTTCAACCCAAAAGTTAATCACTGGAAAGGTTCCCCCTCTGGTTAGTTTGGCTTAATTTACTTTCTATTTCCCCGTCAGTAACCACGTATGTAGTGGGTAGTTGTCTCTCTGTATTCTAATGTTGCCTTTGGCTGCTAACTCGGATGCCCGAATTGTGGATGTATTACGAAACCTTAGTATTTGGGCTACAGGGAAGAATTCCACCCACCTCTCGATTTATCCTCTTTCCATCTGGAGAGATTGATGGAAATTCCTCAATTCAAATGCTTTTCAGAGAATTTCAGAGCGTCCAAACTTAGCAAATTGCTGAATTAATTCTGGTCTTCAGAAGCCGGCTTGCTGAAGTTTCTCAAAAGAAAAAACTTGCAGAAAACCTGGCTTCAAAACGAAGATTCTGTTTCAGAAACTACCAAATTGTGCAGGTTATGAAACAATGCATGAGGAGAATAATTCTGGAGCCGGGTGGAATTTCTGCTCACATTAAAGAAGAAAAGATGCGAATGAAGCTTTTTGCTTTTTTTTAGAAAAGTTTTAGTTTTGCAACATTTTTATCTTTTCACCCCTTCAAAAAAACTGAACTATCTTCTGCCTTTGAAGGAAGCAGTGGATGGTTTAAATTTGGAACATTGTACAGACACTTCCTTTGGTGTTTGAGGTTAAGGAGGGATGGGCGGACGGACTTACTCTTGCTGCTAAGACAGGTAACAACCCCAGTTTGTGGGTAAGCTATCACCCAGAGCTGACACCTCCTGGTCAGGAGTCGACTAGTGACTACATCTGGGTTAACCCTAGGTTTGCAATAAAGGAAGGGAATTGGGGATTGATTGTGTGGCATATAACTCTATACCAAGCAGCCCTATAAACACCCCAGGGACTTGCTCTATGGATGTCTTCCCAACATGAAAGGCGCGATATAAATGTAATTTGTTCTTGTTGTTGCTCCCCAGACACGAGGGATGCTCTGAGACCCACGTTGCAAAATAGAGGACCTTTCCCTGTATTAATGATCTGTAATTTGCAAGCTACTTTCTCCAGCAGGCAGGAAAGGGAGTAGCGATGGAAGATGTTGACATGAAGATGAGCAATAAGAAAGGAAGCTATTGGGAAAAGAATGTTTTGCAAGTTGACCAGAGAGGTAGCTACCAGACAGAAAAGAATGACAGGCACCAGGTAAGGACAGATGAGCTGGAGTGGGCAAGGAGGAATTATCAGAGCTACAATTCAGTTGTTGTCAGAGTGTAGATATAACCTAAAACAAGTTTTTTTTATGATCTGGAGGAGTGAAGTCCTGTAGCATATGGGTTAGAGCACTCGCCTCGAAAGCGAGAGGACTCCGGTTCAATTTCCGGGCAGGGTGAAACCTTAGTCAAGTTTCCTTACTTCACACGCCTTGTTTACCTAGCAGTAAGTAGGAACCCGATTGTTAATCGATTTCCGGGGGTAATAATTCCAAAAAAAATAATAATTTGGTCACCCAGTCCATGACTGTTTGTAGGACACTGCTGTGTGCAATTGGCTGGCGTCTTTTGCCCACAAAATATACAGTCAATTCACTTTACAGTATATTCTGAGAAGCGCTTTGAGATGTCACAACGACGTGATGAGGCGCTATATCAAATGCAAAGATTATTATTATGATGATGATGGGAAATTCAACCTTGCGGAATCTTTCTTGTCGTGTATTTCAGTGTTGTCGCTGAGACATGTAAGTGTTTGTTAATGACAGTAAGTGCCTCCGTACAGTCCACAACCACTGCTTGTGACGGAACATCTATAAAAAGTTTATTTGGGACGAGGTAGATTTTTTTATATGAAAAAAAGAGACATTTTTATCGTAAATCGTTATAAAGTACGAAGAGGATTTTTAAAAGTAATTAACGGTGTGAAAGGACTTACCTGTAGACCGGATCTGATAAGGCACACTCCTTTTGGGGGTGGAACAGTCTGCAACATATTTATAGGTAGATTTGAGTAAATGTGTGAATTGTTTCTAAGTGCAATAGCCTATGGCGTGAAGCAGTGTATTACTGAGTAGCTGTCAATGTTCGAGGGAATGAATGTCTGACAGATGGGATCACTGTTGTTTAAGAGTGGAATCCTGATAAAAGCAGAATCATCTGTGCAAGTTACGCAGATCCATTTCATTCACTTGCATCAAAGTCACATTGCACATCAAAGTGCTCGATCTGTTACTCCCTCAACCCCACAACCATGTGCAATGCGTGGGATCAGGATTCCACTCAACTCGTTACACAAGTTACACGGTTCTCATGAGTGTTTGCTTCTGGACAAGGATCATGTCCCACCCAAGAGCTTCACAACACACATACGTCAAACAACAACTTTTTTCTGGTCAAAGGCACGAACTTGGCTTTCTATATACGTTGTGAGAAGTGCTGCCTAATTCTGCTGCTTTGAGCCAGTAGTGTTTTTTTTTATATTTAAAAAACTGTGTTAAGTGTGGGTACTCGCTTTACAGAGATGTGTGTGAGTGGTACGTGACAGTGGCAGGTGACGTGGTCATATTATATGGTCCTTTGCTTATGGCATTGCAATCAGTTCTCGAACTGTGCCACTTACTGTTGTATTTGTCATTGTTATTCACAACTTATCATATCACAAAAGTGGACAAAAATTGAGAGAGAAAAAAAGACGGCCTTCAGCTCATTTAATCATTCACTTTACGGCGGGCTCAGTCTACACTAACACTAACCAACATATTACTGCTTTAACGTTACTTTTAACCACGAGTTTTGAGAGAAAAAACTGATCTGTGAACGTTTTCATTTCTTGCACGTGTCGCTGTCTTTTAAATAAAAAATTAGGCAAAGAATCAAATGCAGTATTAAAAAGATACTGAGCACTGAAACTGGAATGGGCTGTGGAATTATTTGTTCGATGAAAATGCCGGTGGTTTCAAGGCAAAGTGTGAGCAAAAGCCGTGATCTGATCCATCTGCAAAGTTGGTTCAACATCTCAGCTAAAGGACAATGTCTCCAACGAGGCATTGCTCTCCCCAGCACTGTGCTTTTGATTGGTTTGCAGATGGATTGTAGAAATCTATCGCTATGCTTAGAAGTATCCAAACCGAGTCCCACTTACACGTGTCACGGATACATGGAAATTACACTTGCACGTTTTGGAATGGAACGAGACACACGCCATTCTCACTTAAATTGGCTGCCCCCGTTTGGCCCACGCAACCTCCGTTCAGTTCACTTTAAAGCATGCAGCTCTCTGCGAAGCGCTTTGAGGCGCCTCAGTGACGCGACGGTATAGGCGCTATGTTCTGCGAAGAGCCGTGAGACAGCTCGAGCGACTCGATAGGGTGCCAGTATTATTACCATCCGGAAGGATTATTACTAAAGCCAAAGGGGCGAAGCCAAGGCTTGAGGGGAAGCCATAGAGAGTGCATTGGGGTACATGCTGGCGTTTAAGCAGCTGAAACTGCACAGCTTGCCCATAGAGAGAGAGAGAGGGAGGGAGGGAGGGAGGGAGCACTGTGTTGGCAAGTCAGACAGATGCTCACTGGTACCTCTCTCTCTCAGTGTAGTGAGCACAGCTGGCTCACGTTGCCTCACTTCCGCCCCGCTCGCTGCCTGACTGATCGCCATGGTGCCCCGCAGTCCGTGTCGTCAGTTCCGGTCCGAGCCCGTGCCCGAGCGCTGAGGAGACCCCGCGGCGCGGGCTCGCTCTCTTTCCCTCTCGGGCTGCGCGACATGGCGGACAACCAGGTGAGAGCGGCGGCCGTGAGGGGAGCCGGCGGGGCGGGGCGGGGAGGCCCAGCCTGGGCTCCGACCGGCGGCGCTGGAGCCCGAGCCTCCCTCTTTGTTCCTCTGCCTGAGGCGGGCGGCCCGGCGCCGGGGCGAGGCCGAGGCCGCCATGTGTGCGACTCCGGCCGGGCCTGGCCGGGCCTCGAGGCCTGGGAGCCGGGTCCGGAGCGGACCCGCCGACAGGCGGGGAGGGCGGCGGCGGCGGCCTCCTGATCGCCCTGCTGTCGGGTCTTTTCCCCAAGCGGTGTGGGTGTGGCCCAGGGCCCTCCATGTGAGGGAGACCGCAGGTTATTGCTCACCCTCCATCTCTGCGACCTCCTGACCCCCTCTACCAACCGCCGCGGGGTGGGGGGGCTCCAACCTCTCTGCCCCCCCTCCCCACCTGCTGGATCACCATCCCAGAGCCCCCCCCCCCCCGCCGCGCCCCAGCCTCTGCCTCCCCTTCGAGACCCGTCTTGAGACTCTCCTCTTCGACTGACCGCGCCTTCGGTCATCCCCTCCCTCCCTCTCCCCCCCCCTCCCCCCCACCCACACTCCTTGCCCTCCACCTCCTACCCTGATCCCGACCCCCAGCTCGGGCGCGAGGCACTGACTGTCCAGCGCCTTGGGACGTCCTCCAGACGTGAAAGGCACCATAAACCATATACATATAATTCTGTTCCATAACTATGCTGCACTTGTTCATATCTTATACACACACATGTATAATATATATGTGTGTGTGTGTTTGGATCATACGTGTCACGTGGATTAATGGGCATATCTGTCCATATAATAGGTGTGAGTGTGTGTGTGATGTGTTCGATATGTGTGTATTTATATACACGTGGATTATAGTGTATAAAACATCTGTCCACATAATAAATGTGAATGTGTGTATGTGTGTGTGTAGAAGTATATGCTGTGTAAATGTGTATGTGTGTGTGTCTAGAATGTATAAGGCTGTGTACGGGTCTGATTCGTACAGTGGATATCGTACACATGGACATAATTAAAGGCCAACCAGAGAAACATGTGGCACAGAGATTGAAGGCTCAGCCCATCGTGCTTGTGGATGGCTTTGCTGAACCCGCAATCTATTTGATCCTGTTTTGATCCCCGAATCCCTGACTGTTTGTAGGAACGCTGCTGCGTGCAATTGGCTGCAGCCACAAAAATGCAGTCAATACACTTTACAATATTCTGCAAGTGCTTTGAGACGTCTCAACGACGTGACAAGGCGCTAAATCAAATGCATGGATAATTATTACAGATATATTATAGATGCATCATTCAGTAGTTTATCTCTGATCACTGCTGCAACCTACTCACGCTCTGTTTTTTCTCTATTGCAGACTGAGCGAGCTTACCAGAAGCAGCCAACTATCTTCCAGAATAAGAAGCGAGCGCTTCTGGGAGAGGGTGGCAAAGAAAAACTTCCCCGATATTACAGGAATGTAGGTCTGGGCTTCAAAACTCCTCGAGAGGTGAGATATACCGACTCAGATATTGCTGCTAGACCAATTCGCCAGAACTTCTCTATATACTTTTATATACATATGTGTGTGCACATGCAAATAATGGACTTGCATTGAGTTCAAATATTAGGCAAGTAAGTTTCCTTACTCCACACGCCTCTGTTTACCTAACAGTAAGTAGGAGCCCAGTTGTTATTCAATTGGCGGATAATCCCTCCAAAATATAATAATAATTTGGCCACTCAATCCACGACTGTGTGTGAGATACTGCTGTGCGTAATTGGCTGACGCATTAGGCCCACAAATTATAGTCAATTCATTTTACAGTATATTCTGTGAAGCGCTTTGAAACTTCCCGAAGAGGTGATAAGGGACTATAGCAAATGGAAGGATTATTATTATTCCGAGCTGCAAATTATTTTCTTTCTCATGATGGTCTTCCAAGTCTCGTAGAGGCTGTGACGATCCTGCTGAATGGTTTTACTGATCGCAGATCTGAATGTTAAGAAGTGAGTGAATCGCGAGTCGCTAGGTTTTAGTGTCTATAGTGACTCTCTTTCCCCCCCCACCCCACCCCTTCTTGTCTGGTAATCAAAGTGTGGTTTCCCACAGTCAGAATTGTATGTTCATCATTCGAACTGAATGACCCTCTCTGTCTCTCAGGCCATCGATGGAACCTACATTGATAAGAAGTGTCCGTTCACAGGCAACGTGTCCATCCGAGGGCGAATTCTGACAGGTAGGGGAACCTCTGCTTGTCTTGAGTTCACGTGCTCTCTTTGCTTTACATATTGCCAAAATAAATCTGTGGGGGTGAGCGGGAACTTTCGTGGAGATTCTGCATTCCTTTCTACAAAGTATTTGATAGGTTACTAACAAATTTAGCTTTGTGTATCTAGAGGTACTGAATTTGTACATACTTACTTACATTGGCCTTAAGTCTCTCTGCGCCCAACCTTTGGAACTCCATCCCACAGCCCCTTTGTCTCGCTCCCTCACTTTCCTCTTTCAAGGCACGTCTGTCACCACCCCCCGATCCCAACCCCCTGCTCGGGTCCAATTCCCTGACTGTCCAGCGCCTTGCGACAGCCTCCCGATGTAAAAGGCGCTGTGTAAATGTAATTTGTTGTTGTTTTTGCTGAAACCTGTTTGTTTATCTGTCTCCTGTCCCCAGGTGTGGTGACCAAGATGAAGATGCAGCGTACCATAGTGATCCGCAGGGACTACCTGCACTACATCAGGAAGTACAACCGCTTTGAGAAGCGCCACAAGAACATGTCTGTCCACCTCTCCCCCTGCTTCAGGTACGCTTGTTCCTCTGCGCTCGATCTGCTGCCATGTGGTTTGCGGCTGGTTGGAGAACAGTCCCATATACCACTCATAGTGTAGGCAACTCTGGATACCGGGCCAGCTGATGAGTGTTAGAGCTTGGGCTTGCAGGGTTAAAAGGAACCGAGAGTGGGAGGATTCCCAGTGAGTGAGTGACTGGTCTGTCCCTCCAGTAAGCCCAGCACTCCTAACTGAGTGGCCTAGAGCTACTGTTGGTTCTTTTCTGACCTCCATTTATTTGCCTCCTGCTGCAGAGACGTGCAAAGTGGCGACAGTGTGACTGTGGGTGAATGCCGGCCTCTGAGCAAAACCGTGCGTTTCAACGTACTGAAGGTCACCAAAGCCGCTGGAGCCAAGAAACAATTCCAGAAATTTTAAACTCTCAGGTGGAGACTGTCTGCCCTGGAGGATATCGCCATCACATCACAATAAAAGGTTTATAAGAAGGTTGAACGGCTTATAATTTGTGTCTCATTGAGTGTGAAACAATCATCTTTGGGCTACTTGCTCTTCCAACAAATCCCATTGCATCCCACTTCTCAATCCCTCCTCCTTCCCTATCTTCACATCACATCTGAAGACCTTGCTCTTCAACCGTGCCTCTCCATTACTGTTAAGCTTGCTGGGGCGCAACAACAGCAACAACATTCTTGTTGTGCCCCTCGCACGGTGTAGCCTCCCAGAGCGCTTCTATGAATGGTGCTGCGGAAATGCAATTTGTTGACGATGCTGTAGGGTTGGAAGGACCCTGACGTTGGGAATGAAGGGAAGAAAGTAGGCTGCTGAGGTCTGATTTCTTTGGTCAAGACTTTTAAAGGCAAACCTGTGAAATGTTTGGATGCTGCTGTTGTGATGTTTGAGAGTCATTTGAGCAAATGGTGCTCAGGATTGGGAAAGGAAGCTCTCTTGTGGCAGAGCAGATGAAGTGCACTCAATGCATATCTTCCCACATCAAATGCCCGTGTCCTCATAGTCACCCGTGGTCCAACAGGGGTCGCTAGTTAGGACCACAGAGGCCTGAAATTACACCAACTCTCTTAATATTCAAGGCGCACAGTTGTGGAATATTGATTTGAGGGTTTTAATGTAAAAGCTTTCAAGACCAAACTGAACATTCCAACCACCTAAACTTTAGGATTTCAGGGCCTTGGTGGGTAGATTTTCCTCCCTCACCCACTTCCTGTGGAGGGAGGACAGAGCCCTGTAACACCTGAACGCTTCCTCCAGTGCGATCAATGAACTCGCACACTCACTAACTGAGTGTCGTGCAATTGTGTTGTAACTGGAATTGAGCCTCGTTAAGGATTAGCCTGTGCGGTAAGGACGAGTTTTGCTACCATGAAAAGTAATTCTCCGTGACGATGCCAGCAATGTTTTTATTTTGAGCTGCGTGAGCAAGTTACATAACATATTGTTAGTTACAACCTTCAGTGGTTTCTGAATTATTATTTTTTTTTGCCAGCAATTTAAACGTTTGCCGTGTTTCGCCCACACAATACATAGTCTCCCCAATTTACAACGTTTTCTGTGAAGGCGACAATGCGATAAGGCGTTATGTCCAATGCAAGAATTATTATGATTATTTTGGGGTCCAATCTTGGCTGGCACATTCCTCTACCATAGGGGTTAGTTTTCAAAGCTCTTGCTGTCAGCAGCTTGGTGGAATTTGCCTGATTGAGTGCCTTTAGGAGATGGGAAGAACTTTTATTCCCAGGAAGTGACCGGCTGGCATCTGTGTGTCCGGAGCTCTTTGCCCGGCTACATGTTAGTGCGTTGCTTCCAGGCTGCAGCACTGGGCTCCCCCTGCTGTTGGCACAGTTTGGGCCCTGGCACCGTATCCTGTGGGTAAATCACTCCTATTTGCTTGCGGACCTCGTCCATGATGCTTGCGATGAGCTCGCTCTCAGCCAGTGGAATCAGGGGGCACTCCTTCAGGCCTGGGGATTCAAACATGAAATGGCATCAGAGAGGCTGGCCACGGAGAGAGATTCGGTGCAAACGTGCGCATCGGCCGTATATCAAACGCTCTCAGTCACACAGAGTCCCTGAGTCTCGTCCTGTACTTTTGCGTGGCAATGTGTTTACCAGAGAGGCTGTACCGGTCGTTAATTTCCTCTTCCCCCACCCCCCACACCCCACACCCACCCCGAATTTTTTTTTTAAAAATCAATAAATTAACGGCTCATTTTGGGGACGTCGCCGTGTGCAAAATTGGCTGCCGTGTTTGCCCTCGCAAACGCACACAAGTCAGCTTACTGCACCGTAAACTCCCGTGAAGCGCTTTGAGATGTCCCGACGACTTGACAAGGCACCTCGTTGACACGGTGCGGTTTCTGTGCCGATTGCCGATTCCTGCCCTTGCACCATAACGCGCTTTGCGACCAAAGAAACCTTCGCAGCTGGGGAGGTTAATAGTTTTCACGAGAGGCAAGTGCAAGGTGTGGTAACGGTGAGACGGGGCGGAAGCTCACCTTTCTGGAGGCACTGACGGACCTCCTCGGCCTCGTAGCGCAATCCCATGCTGTGCGGGAAGTTGAGAGGCTGGGAGGGCTCGGGCAGGGGGAACTCTTGCTTCTCTCTGTTCACCACCAGGCGAGTCGGGCACCACATGTGGTCAGGGATCTTCGGGGATTAACAACACAAAGGAGTAAAACATCACAACAGTGCCAATTTCCCCATCCCCGCACTAACGACAACAACAACTTGCAGTTATAGAAGTGCCCCTCGCGCAGGGCAGCGTCCCAGAGCGCTTGAAGATTAAGCAGTTTCCCGCTGCAGGATTTGCTGTGCCTTTTTCCGTGGAGGTAAATATTGTGAGGGAGGTGATGTGGGAGTTTCCCCCTGTTTCCCCCTGGACCGAGTCTGATGATGTATCTCTGGGCCTCTTATTCGTTCCTTCCCATCTTTGCATTAATTTCCTACCGGCTGAGGTTTCAGTCTGTCAGAGAGATGGGTCTGTCCCCTGTCTGCCCACTGGCCCACATTACAGCACAGCTTTACCTTGATGGTGCCCTTGGTCCCTACAATGGTCGCCTCGTTGGTCAGTTGTACGGCCATCGTCACCGTCACAACAGCCATCCTCTTTCCCGAGTACTTCAGCACGATCGTCACAGACTCGTCAACACCTAGGCCGGCCGAGAGGAGAGGGTACAAGTGTGACTCACCCAACCTGTGAAGTCCTACCCCCACCCTCCCTGCCCTCGCTCCATCCCTCCTGATCCCATCCCCCAGCTCGGGTGCAAATCACTGACTGTCCATCAGTGGGAGAGAAAAAAAAACAGCCGTGGTCTCTCCTTGTGCTCTCCTCTACCAACGCACCTTCGATCATCTTCCTAACTACCCCCATCCTCCCTACCCTCGCTCCACCTCTCCTGATCCCAACCCCCTGCTCGTGTCCAAATCCCTGACTGTCCGGTGCCTCGGGACAACAACAACAACAAAAATGACATTTGTAAAGCGCCTTTCACATCGGGAAGACGTCCCAAGGTGCTGGACAGAGGACAGACAGAGTTATGAACCCGAGTTGGGTGTCGGGGTGGAGGGCGGGGGGGGAGCAGGGAGATCGAAAGATCCTCCCGATGTGAAAAGGGCACCGTGTAAATGTCATTTATTGTTGTTGAATATTGTATTCTCCTCCCCTCTCCCCCCCCCGTCCCCCTCCATGATGTTCCAGTTAATCACTCTGTTTTCCACAGGGAGTCCCTTGGGAAAGTATTGGCGGTTTCCCACATGTACCTGTGTGGGTCAGGAATCCAGTGGCATCAATGGAGTCTGGTTTTTCTCCCTTGAAAACCATACAGACAAACTGTATGCTGTTACAGCCAATGTCTAGGAGCACCCCACCTCCCAGCTCTTTCTGCATCAGACGAGGAGTGTCCATCATGTATATGCCTTGCTCGACTATAACCATCTTTATATCCCCCAGGACATTCTGCGACAGGAGGCTCCGAATGGTGTTGGAGACTGGAAAGAAACGAGTCCATAATCCCTGGGGGTGAGGGGGAGAAAGCAGGTCAGTGTGGAGTCCTATAGCCTAGTGGTTAGAGCGCTCGCCTCACAAGCAAGAGGACACGGGGCAAAATCTTAGACAAGTTCCCTTACTCCACAAACACGCCTCTGTTTACCTAGCAGTATGAAGGAACCTGGTTGTTAGTCGATTGGCGGATCGCTTTCTGAGTATAATATTCCCTCCAAAAAGATCACTCGATCCACAACTGTTTAAGGGACACTGCTGTGCGCAATTGGTTGCCGCGTTTTGCCCACAAGATACAATCAATCCACTGTACAGTACATCCTGACCAGTATCCAGCTGACCTCCATGAGGAACATGTTAGTCTGGCGAGCTGTCCTGACCAGCTCCTGGACCTCGCCCTCGTTCATGGCCAATGGCTTCTCACACAAGACGTTCTTCCCGGCCTCCATCATGGACAGCGCGACCTCCAGGTGACAGGGGTGAATCGTCCCCACGTAGATGATGTCTGTCAACAAACAGTTTCTCCTAAATGTCTTTCCCTTCATTTCCCTTCTCTTACCCCCTCCCGCCCCACAACCCACAAGATACACAATCAATTCACTCTACAGTAATAAGAACGACAACTTGCATTTATATAGCGCCCCTCACGCAGGGTAGTTTCCCAAAGCACTTTTCCTGTCAAGCTTACTGTACTGGAATACCAGTGGATTACTATAACCCAACCACCTGATTTTATTCTCTCTGTCTTCCTCAATCCAGGAAAAAAAATCCTGTTAAGGTGTTAGTCGAGACAGGGGAGCAATGTTGGAAGCAAAGACATTGAACCCCAAATCTTCTCCCAAACAGGATTACTGGGTGTAAAATGTGATGTGTGATGTGCTAATTAACACATTATAATTGGACATTAAACATTTCTCTCTCTCACACTCGTGCGCGCTCACCAGGTTTGGGATCTTGTGCCAGTTCCTCATATGAGCCGTAGGCAGTGGGGATGTTGTGCCGTTTGGCGAAGGCTTTGGCTCGCGAGAGATCCCGAGATGCCACACAAACCACCTGCGGGAGGGAAAGGAACAATTGTTCAGTTGGTATTGAGAGCTTCTCAACCAGTCTCTCTCTCTGTCTCTCTCTCTCACTCCGCTCCCCCTCTTTCCTCCCCTCTTCCCTTCCTTACACTCCCCGCCTCCCTACCCTCTCCTCTTTCGTCCCTCCCTCTCATCTCTCCCTCCCTCTCGTGTTCCCTCCCTCTCACAAATACACACTTTGTGGTAATGAACCGTGAAGCACTTTTGAGACATTTTGACATTAAAGGGCCTATAAAAATACAAAGTTCTTCCTAATCACAAACACAGCGGTTTGAGATATCTCAACTACGTGATAAGGCGCGATATCAAATGCAAGGATTATTGTCCTGTTCTGACGAAGGGTCGTGGACCCAAAACGTTGATTCACTTTCCTTTCTTCATAGACGCTGCCTGACCTGAGTGTTCCCAGTGACTGCTGTTTTTGTTTCAGATTTCCAGCATCTGCAGAATCTTGCATTTTATGATTATTATTAATATTCTCTCTCTTCCCCTTTTACCCGGGTCTGTTCAAGTGAAGCTTAGAACAGACACTGCGACACATAAAGACATCTGTCCTGCCCTAAGCCAGCAAACCCTTCTTTAACTTGGCCTCAATCTCTCCCAAAACAAGTTGCCGTCTGGAGGCGATGTGGCTCTCAGTAATCCGATGCAGTGATTACCTCATGATCTTCTGATGGCAGAGACCTTAAAGCCACCAAGAAGTCATGGCAGATCCTTCCCACCGAGCAGATGCCCCATTTGGTAGCCATTGTGTAGGAGATGTTTCCGCAGCTCAGAGTCACGGAGATTGCTTCCACAACAGACCTCTGCGGTTCACTGCCTTATATACAGCAGCTCCCAGCTCACTGATTGTGCCGCCTCATCATAAATGGGTTAAAGAACAATCCACTGTCAACAGGCAATACTTTCAGAGGGTGATGAGCATTGTTTAAGGTCCAATCTGCTCGATCAGCTCAAACGTATTAATCTGTAGGCTTTATTGTGCCACGCTTACTGTCTGGCTTTCTGTTGTTTTTGCTAATTTAGAGCTGGTCATTTCTGCTGTGCTAAGGTTGAACAATAATCTGGGTCTTAATGGGGCGGAGGAGTTCTCCCCCGGTATCAGGATGACCCTCATGGGAGCAGTGGACAATCAGCGGGACAATACCAGGAGATGGGGAGCGAGGGAAGGAATGGGATAGAGAAAGGGAGAGGTTGAGGTGTCACTGTACTCAGTTTAAGGTTGTAGTTTAGTTGTGTTCTGTGGTAAGGGTGATTTAATCCTAAAATCTTGCAGCACCGAAAGAGGCCATTCAGCCCATTGTGCCTGCGCTGTCTCCCTACCCGACTGGTCCCACTCCCACGCTCCTTCCCCTCAGCCCCGCACATTTTTCCCTTTTCGGGTACCTATCCAATGCCCTTTTGAAAGTTATTGTTGAATCTTCAAAGATGTTTACAAAGTTAAGTACAACAAATTACTTTTTAGGCTTTGAGACATCCTTCCCCAAGTCGAAAGGGCATCTCAAAGTCACAGTGCAGTGAAGTGACTGTGTATTTGTAGATGAATGTGGCAGCACAATCGTCCACAGCGATGTCCTGCAAACAGCTATGGAGTGAGTGGCCAGTTGTATCTGGGGGACTGTGGGTCAGGACACCGGGAGAGATAAACTCCTATTTTCAAAGAGAGCCATAGGATCTTTAACCTCCACCTGAACAGGACAGAGGGTTTTAACATTGTCACCCGAAGAACGGCACCTCCAACAATGCCACACAGACCCACCGCAGCGCTGCATTGGAGCATCAGTTTAGACGATGTGTGTACGTAATAACAACAATGCATTTGATCTATCGCCCAGAAAGATCTCAAAGCCCTGAAAAGCATAGTGACTGCATTTTGTAGTCAATTACGCGCGCAGCGACATTCCCGCAAAGAGCCGTGAAGCGAACAACAGGATTTTTGTTGTGTGTGTATATATATACCTGTATGTGATGTGTGTATATATATACCTGTATGTGATGTGTGTATATATATACACCTGTATGTGATGTGTGTATATATATATCTGTATATGATGTGTATATATATATCTGTATATGATGTGTATATATATATACCTGTATGTGATGTGTGTGTGTGTGTATATATATACCTGTATGTGATGTGTGTGTGTGTGTGATGTGTATATATATATACCTGTATGTGATGTGTGTGTGTGTGTGTGTGTGTATATATATACCTGTATGTGATGTGTGTGTGTGTGTATATATATACCTGTATGTGATGTGTGTGTGTATATATATACCTGTATGTGATGTGTGTGTGTGTGTGTATATATACCTGTATGTGATGTGTGTGTGTGTGTGTGTGTATATATATACCTGTATGTGATGTGTGTGTGTGTGTGTGTGTATATATATACCTGTATGTGATGTGTGTGTGTGTATGTATACCTGTATGTGATGTGTGTGTGTGTGTGTGTGTATATATATACCTGTATGTGATGTGTGTGTGTGTGTGTGCACCTCACACACCATATACAAGTGTATAGTATATAGTATATAGTATATATACACACGATTTGGTTATAGCAGTTTCGATTCCTGATCTCTGTGTTAATCTCTGAACCGTTGCAGTTTCGCTTTCCCCCAAACCATGACTTGCGATCGGTGATCTCTGTGCGGCTCTGAGGTTTGAAGGATTAGACCTTCAGTCACTCGGAGACATCGGATGGAGAGTTAAAAGAGCGATTGAGTTCTTCTTCTCAACTTCGGTTTCTCTCCTCATCTTTGATTACGTGTCGAAAGCTGTTCATATGTGAGGTTTGAGATCAATCTCTTTTTCCTCCTCTCCCTTTTCCCCCTTTCTCTCTCTCTCTATTTCCCTCTCTCATTCCCCCTCTCTCCCCCTCCCTTTTCCCCCTTTCTCTCTCTCTATTTCCCTCTCTCATTCCCCCTCTCTCCCCCTCTCTTTTCCCCTTTTCTCTCTCTATTTCCCTCTCTCATTCCCCCTCTCTCCCCCTCTCTTTTCCCCTTTTCTCTCTCTATTTCCCTCTCTCATTCCCCCTCTCTCCCCCTCTCTTTTCCCCTTTTCTCTCTCCATTTCCCTCTCTCATTCCCCCACTCTCTCCCCCTCTCTTTTCCCCTTTCTCTCCTTTCCCTCTCTCATTCCCCCTCTCTCCCCCTCTCTTTTCCCCTTTTCTCTCTCCATTTCCCTCTCTCATTCCCCCACCTCTCCCCCTCTCTTTTTCCCTTTTTCTCTCCCTATTTCCCTCTCTCATTCCCCCTCTCTCATTCCCCTCTCTTTTTCCCTTTTTCTCTCCCTATTTCCCTCTCTCATTCCCCCTCTCTCCCCCTCTCTTTTCTCCCTTTCTCTCTCTATCTCTCTCTCATTCCCCCACCTCTCCCCCTCTCTTTTTCCCCTTTTCTCTCTCTATTTCCCTCTCATTCCCCCTCTCTCCCCCTCTCTTTTCCCCTTTTCTCTCTCTATTTCCCTCTCTCATTCCCCCTCTCTCATTCCCCCTCTCTTTTCCCCCTTTCTCTCTCTATTTCCCTCTCTTTTCCCCCTTTCTCTATTTCCCTCTCTCATTCCCCACCCCTCCCTCTCTCTTTTGCCCCCTTTCCCCCTATTTCCCCCCTTTTCTCTCATTTCCCCTTCCCATTACTCCCCCCCCCCCCCTCTCATTCCCCTCTCTTTTGTCCCATTTCTCCCTTTCCCCCTCTCCCCAATTTCCAAATCCCATTTCAATCCCATCCCAAACTGTATGTTGCAGTTGAAATGCTATTAAGTGAGTGATTCAATCGGTTGTGAATGAATGAATTAAATGAATTAATGAGCGTGAGGTTGAGAGAGCGATTTGGGTGGTGGGGGGTGTGTGGGGGGAATGGTAACTTTTTGGGGGAGATAGGGGGGGTGGGGGAAGGAGAGAGGGGGAAAGATAACCACAGGAGCCAGATTTCTGGTTGTAGGTTATTTGGGGTTTGAGTGGATGAGAGAGTGAGTTTGGATAAATAAAATGGGACTCTTTGATGTGAAATGTGTTTTTTTTAGGACAGGAATTGAGTGACTGAGAGTTGGGAGAGTTGCATACAAGTAAAGTGGAGGGAGGGTGAAGTTTTTTCCCCCCCTTCCCCCCCCCCCCCAAAAAAAAAATCTGATTGGGTTAATGCCATCCGGTCTTTGGAATTCGTGTTTCTCAATTACTTGCAAAACCACAATAATAATTGTATTTATTTTCTCTTTGTACTTTGTTAATTGTGCACTGTACTTAACTGATAATAATAATCCTCGCATTTGATATAGTGCCTTATCGCACCTTTGAGATTATTATTCTACAACTCCCTTAAAGCACTTCGAGATAAGGCGCTGTATCAAATTTAAGGATTATCTTCTATACTGATAAGATAAAATGTCCGTCTGTGCGTCCGCCAAGATCGCAATAACCCATCGCCAGAGAGACATGATTTGTGCCTCATCGGAAAGGTCTTGCGTGGGAGCGTGTCACGGGCATCTTTTTTTCAGGAATTTCCTATCGTTGATGGGCTGCATATAAAAAAATATATTTAAAAAAAAATACTTTAATTAAGCTCTGAAAAAGCACGCGTGGTATTCGGCAAGAACCGTAGCGGCAGAGGTCATACACCCTTCTGGTCGTACCCTAATAAAGATAAAATGTGTGTCTGTCGTAGAGCCTAAATGAAATGTATGTCTCATTGATGTAGAGACAGCGACAGGAGTCCTCTTACAGGAGTTCACCCACTGAGTCCTCCCAAAAGGATACGTGTGCAAATCAGTGAACAAGGGATACCCGCGAGTTCAACAGCATATTTTCTTAATCTTGAGGGATAAATATGCCTCAGAAGCAAAGCTCAAGCCTTTAAAGGACAAATAAAAATGGTAGACATAAGAGAGAAGGACGATTAAATGAAACTGGTCACGAGTGTAGCTGCAACAGATACAGCTAGTTATTATGCAAATATAATAATAAATGATAACAATTAATAATAATTATCCTTACATTGGAAACAGCGCCTTATCACATCTTTGAGACTCCTCAAAGCGCTTCATAGAGTACACTGTAAAGTGAATTGACTGTGCATTTTGTGGGCGAAACGCGGCAGCCGATTGCCCACTGTAATGTCCCTCAAACAGTCGTGGATGAGTGACCAAATTATTATTACTTTTAGTATTATTATTAATAGTTTGGGAGGGATTATTACTCCCGGAAAGCGATCCGCCAATTGACGAACAACCGGGTTCCTGCTTACTGCGAGGTAAACAGGCGTACGTGAGGCGTAAGGAAACTTGCCCAACCTGCCTGTCCTCTCATGAATCAAACCCAGGTCGCTTTACCTGAAACAGACCAGTTTCATTTAATCGTCCTTCTCTCTTTTGTCTACCATTTTTATTTGTCCTTTTAACGGCTTGAGCTTTGCTTCTGAGGCATATTTATCCCTCAAGGTCTCGTTGCGAGGCGAGCGCTCCAATGACTAAGCTACAGGACTCCACATGTTTTATGACACATGCCAACTGTCCTAATCCTAACTTTTTTTTCTTTTGATTTAGCTGCTGGAAAACACCCGGGGAAAGGAGGATGCCGAAAGCAAGGTATTATTACTCTGAAATTCCCAGTGGTGTTTAGAGACATTTTACTATCTTTGTTGTTCTTGAATAATCTTCTTTTCGAGGTGCTTCAGTGCGAGCGACTCGGGTGTCGATTGTCTCATTAACTTGGGCCTTTTCTGTTTGTTCTCGGCGTAGAAAATCTTTCGGACAAAAGGTCCCGTCGTTGTTGGACTACCTCAAAGGGATCCTGCGACGATATCCTGATGGTGGGCAGATCCTTAAGGTAAGTCGTACATTACGATAATAATAATAATAGTAATAATCCTTGCATTTGATATAGCGCTTTTCACGTCGGGAGGACGTCCCAAAGCGCTTCACAGAACACACTGTAAAGTGAATTGACTGTATATTTGTGGGCGAACGCGGCAGCCAATTGCGCACAGCAATGTCCCACAAACAGTCGTGGATTGAAAATGACCAATTTATTATTGTTTTTGGTGTTGGAGGATTATTATTAGGCTCTGTGTGGAGTAAGGAAACTTGCCCAAGGTTTCGCCCTCTGCCTGGAATTAAACTCAGGTCTCTCGCTCGCAAAGCGAGTGCTCTAACCACTGAGCTACAGGACAGGGTATTGGGCATATTGAGTCGTAGGGCAGTGATTTCTGCGCTCGCCTCGCAAGCGAGAGGACCCAGGTTCGATTACCCGGACGGGGCAAAAACGTAGGCAAGTTTCTTTACTCCACGCGCACGCTGCTGTTTATCCAGCAGTAAGTAGGAACCCGGTTGTTAGTCGATTGGCGGATTGCTTTCTCCATTAAAAAGAATATTCCATCCAATCTGTTTGTGGGGACGCTACTGTTGCGCATTTCGCTCCCGCGTTTCGCCCACAAAATACCCAGTCAATTCGCTTCAGAGAATATCCCGTGAAGCGCTTTGAGACGTCTCGAAGACGTGATCAGGGGCTGCGTCAAAGCAAGGATTGTTATTATCGTTCTTGTTGTGATCATCTGTGAACGTTCTGGCAGGAGCTGATCCAGAACGCAGACGATGCCGAGGCCAGCCAGGTGGTCTTTCTGTTTGATGAGCGGACACACCCGTCCCACTCGCTCGTCCTGCCCGAGCTGGAGCCCTTCCAAGGTGAGTGATTCCCGCCGGGAGGTCACTGCCCACGGCATTCCGAGACCCTTTCCCAGCGCGATGGGCGCTGCAAGTTGTCTGTCACTTTGCAACCTCTGTGCTGTCGCCTTTCCCTTCCAGGACCCGCCCTCTTCGTGTACAACGACTCCATGTTCTCCGAGGAGGACTGGGAGGGCATTCAGACCATCAGCTGCAGCGTCAAACGTAACGACCCCAACAAGGTGGGCCAGTTTGGAATCGGATTCAACTCCGTCTACCACATCACAGGTGATTAAAAGTCGACCCACTTTGCAGCGTGTATCCTGTGAAGCACTTTGCGACGCATTGAAGACGCGCGATGGAATGCAAGGATTATTATTGTCCGCGCCCAGACAGCTCAGCCGCAAAGTGCTGACTTGAACCCCCACCCCCCCCATCTTTGGAGTCCCGTAGCGAAGACCCCAGTCCTGGCCCTCCCCCCCATCCCCAAACCCCGATCCCCGACCCCCCCAGTCCTGGCCAGACTACACTGGCTCCTGCCCCAGAGAGGATCGGCTTCAAGATCCTCGCTCTTGTCTTCAAATCCCTGCACTCCTCTGCACCCCCCGACCTCCCTGACCTCCTCTCTCCTCAGCACAGTGCCCGTTGCCTCCGTTCCTCCGGGTCTGGCCCCTCCTCATCCCCCGAGTCCTCCGTTCCACCCTCGGCAGCTGTGCCTTCAGCCACTACGCCCCGAGGCTCTGGAACTCCCTTCCTCACTCCCTTCGTCTCGCTCCCTCCCTTCCCATTTTCAGGTCTCTGCTGAAGACCTTTCTTTTCGACCGCACCTTTGGTCACCTTCCTCCCCCTCCCCACCCACCCCCCACCCCAGCTCGGCCCCGGGATCCGTTACTGTAAAGCGCTCTGAGACGCCGTCTGGCGTGGAGTGTGTTATATAAATCCAAGTTGTTGTTGTGTCTCTCTCACTCTCTCTCTCCCGGTAGATTTACCGGCTATATTCAGCGGGAGCAGCGTGGCGATGCTGGAGCCCCGGGAGACGATCTTCGAGCGCGAGGGCGGCCGCCGGTGGTCGCTGGAGGACGCGGGTGACCGGGAAGTGCTGGAACGGTGCCGGGACCAATTTCAACCATTCCGGGACGTCCTGCGGCAAGTGGATGGTGCCATGAGCTGGGACGCCGCAATGGAGAGCCGGTATTTCCGCGGGACCCTGTTCCGCTTTCCCTTACGCCGGGCGCCCACCGCCATCTCCGAGACCCTGTACGACCCCGGGAAGGTCACGGAGCTGTTCGAGTCGTTCGCCGCCGACGCCGACATGAGCCTCCTCTTCCTCCGCCATGTCGCCTCCGTCTCCCTCGGGTACCTGCGGGCTGACGGGGAGAGAACCGAGACGGTGCTGCGGGTCAGCGCCGTGGCGCAGGACCTCCCACTCCTCTCGCCGGGGGCGGGCGGGTCCGGTACCTGCATCAAAACCGTAGCCCGGCGCCAGAAGAAGGAGGGTGAGGAGGAGCGTCCCGGGCAGAGTTGTCGGTGGCTGCTGACCACATGCACCGGGGCGGGCGAGGACCTGGCGGGGCTGGCCGCCAGCTTGAGCCTGACCCCGAGGGTGGACCTGGCGTTCCCGCTGACCGAGCCGGAGCCGGGCTTCACCGGGCGGCTGAGCTGCTACCTGCCGCTGCCGGACAACGAGAGTAACCGCACGGGGCTGCCCGTCCACCTCAACGCCTCCTTTGGGCTGACCGACAACCGGCGGCACGTCAAGTGGCCGGAACCGGACCAGCAGCACGACGAGGCCGCCCGGTGGAACGAGCTGCTGGTCAGCGAGGTCCTGCCCCGTGCCTACGACCAGCTAGTCCTGGACGCCGTCGCCTTGGTCGATGCCACCGACTCGGTGTCGCCGGCTGAGGTTTACCGGCTGTGGCCGGACCAGGACAAGACGGGGCGGATCGAGCGCTGGGCAGTGGCGGGAGACGGTATCTGCCGGCGCTTGGCGGGACTGGAAGCCCTGCGCCTGACCGCCGCCACCAACCACCCACGGTGGGTCAAAGCCGAAGGCGCCGTGTTCGTGCCACTCGGGGTCCGGCCGGTGCTGCGGCAGGCGCTGGCGCGAGCGCTGGCGGGCGCGGGTGAGCCGCTGGTCGAGGCTCCGAGCCATGTGTTACGCGCAGTGGAGAGAGTGCTGGAGGCGGCGGGAGGAGGAGGAGGGGGGAATCACATGGTGACCCCCGCCTCCCTCCGCCAGGCTCTGGTGGGCACCGGCGCCGGCCTGACCCCGGCAGAGAAGCTGCTGCTCCTGGAGTTCGCTCTGGCAGACGGGCGGTTCGGGGAGCTCAACGCCCTGCCTTTGCTTCCCCGCCGCGACGGCTCCTTCGCCCGGTTCCTGAGGACCGACCCCGGCCACGGGCTGACCCTGGTCGAAACGGTGAACTTCCCCCGGTGAGTTACCGATAAGTTGACCGGCCTGTGTATGTGTGTATCAGGGGGTGGGGGGGGGTTCTGTGTGTGTGTGTGTGTGTTGGGGTGGGGAGCACCGTCTTGCCTCCGTCTTTCGGACGAGACGTTAAAGCCTCGTGTCAGACTAACGGGAGGAGAAGGGAAGAGTTTCTCTCTCCCGATATCCTAGCCGACAAGCTTGCCCCCTCCCCTCCCACCCCCCACCCCCCCCATTTTGTCCCCCCCCCTCCCCCATTTTTTTCCCCCACCGCCCCCACACTTTTTCCCCCCTCAACCCGTCCAAAACCAGTCACCTACTTCACTGCTGATTACTTTATGATGTTTTCTACGGATTCCAGGATTTTGCTCCCTGGCTTTGAGGGCCGTTTCCTGCCGAGGGATCTTCAAGCCCATGTGGAGGAACAGCTGAAGGAGATTGCTCGTAGGAGTGAGTGTCCCCCCCCCCACCCACCCCCCACCCACGCACCGCCTCGCGTCTGCCCGGCCTCAACACTCTTGTCCGGTTTACAGTTACACCTCTTTCATCCCCGGACCTAACAAGTTCGATAGAGTCTCCGGCCCCGAAACACCTGCGACCCCCCCCCCCGCCCACCACTCCGGGAATCCAAATACTCACCATTATTTCGATTCACCCTGAGCTTCCTCACTCCGTGAAGGGCTTTGAGACGTCTCGACGACGTGATAAAGCTTTGAATCAAAGGCGAGGGTTATTATTATCATTGTTGTAACTTTCCGGTGTTTTTACTCTCTCTCTCTCCCCCCTCTCTCTCTCCCCCTCTCTCTCTCTCCCCCCTCTCTCTCTCTCCCCCCCTCTCTCTCGGGCAGAAATCTTCACAAGCCTGGTGTGTCTGGACAGTGCCCTGATCCTGCGGCTAGCCGGACAGTCCCTCCCGAAGGACTGGACCTCGGCTGAGGTGACGTGGGACCCGAGCGAGGCCGGACACCCTCCGGTGGGCTGGCTGAAGGCGTTCTGGCGTTTCCTGCGGGACCACTGCCCGAGGGGGCTGGGCAAGGCTGAGGGTCTGCCTCTTGTGCCGCTGGGTGACGGTGATGAGGATGAAGGAGGTGAGGGACTTCGCCTGGCCCGTCTCTCTGCGACCACTTCGGCGATTTTCCAGGAGCAGAGCAGCTCCGAGTTGCCAGGGTCCGTTGCCGGCCTGGTGGAGGATCTCGGCGGGAGAGTGATCCGATGCGTGGAGATCTTCCTCAACCACCCAAAGCTCGGTGACTACATCTTGGCTCCCAATGCCAACAACGTCCTGAGGATCTTTCTCAACCTGGGCTCCAACCATGTGGTGCGGGAGATGACGAAATTCACCATCCGGGACAGACAGGCTCTGCGCACTTACCTGACCGAAGCTCCCTTCCTCGGCCAAGAGGAGAAACACCTACTAGGGAGGCTTCCCATCTTCCAGCAGATGCCGTCCCTTGGGTATCGGAGGGACAAGTTAGTGCCTCTTGCCGGCCAACTGGCCATGAGCAACAAGGACCTGCTCACGATCCCGGAAGATGTCCTCCTGCCCGAGACCGTGGTGAGTTGCTCCCCGGCGGAGTGTAAGCTGCTGGCGCCCAGCAGGTCCCTGACGGTGGTGGGAGCCACGCTGCTCATGGTGAGGGGAGTACAGAGTGGGGTCTACCCTATCCCGGAGGCCGAGAGTGTCATGCTGTGGGTCCTGAGAAACTCTGAGATCCTCTTCCGGAATCGGGAAGTGCTGGAGGGATGCAGGGACCTGGCGTTCCTGGCGTCCGGAGACCGAATGGTCCGGGCGTCCGATCTTTTCGACCCCCGCGAACCCACCTTCCAGCAGCTCTTCCAACCTGAGAGCAGCCACCTCTTCCCCCCCGCGGTGTACACTGACCCCGGGGTCTTGGACTCGCTGCAACGCCTTGGGCTGAGGACCTCCCTGGACAAAGTGGGCCCGGACCACCTGCTGAAGACGGTGGAGAGCGTGGCGGGGGCCGGGGGCCGAGCTGGAGGGCACAAGCTCCGAGTGGAGAAGGCGGCAGCGGCCATCAGAGTGTGCAACACGACGGGTGTGCTGTCCGTCTGCACATCCGCCACCCTGGACCGGATTCGCTCCTCACGTTGGGTCCCCGGTGGCCTTGATGAGGACGGACGAGCCTGTTTTCACGAGCCCGAGGACCTGAGGGCTGCACAATTTGCCAGTATAGTGGGCTCGGCCATGCCTCTGACCGACCTGTTCACCCCCAAAGCAGGTAAGTTTCTGGGGCTGTCACGCCCGCCCCCAGCCCAGACGGTGCTGGACAACCTTCTGGGAATGGGGCAGGCGAGCGACGACAGCGATTGCGGTCTCTTCAATCTACAGACTCAGCTCCGGAGCATCTACCAGCACATGCAAGCCCACCTCCCCGACTTCAAGCCTCTCCTGAAGGGCACAGAGTTGCCCTGGGTGTGGAACGGGGCCAGGTTCTCGCCCTCCCACCTAGTGGTCCTTGCTTACCCCAAGGGCTTGGATCTCAGCTTCTACATAGAAAAGGTCCCATGGGAAATGGCGTCGTACGGAGGCTTGTTCACCGAGTGCGGTGTTAAGAGGGACTACAGCGACGAGGAGGTGGCTGAGATCCTCCACCACTTGAAGGAGAAGATCGACCTTCAATCAGGGTCTGAAGACCCCAACAAACTCAAGCTGGTGCTCTCGGTCCTCGACTGGATGAGGAAGAGGGGTCTGGCAGCCAGCGATGACCTGCCCATTCCTGTGGTGTGCCCATCGGTGGGAGAAGGCGGGTTTGCCATGGAGCCGGCCTCCAATGCTCTCTTCTGCACCGGGAGCAAGGACGGTCTTGAGGAGCTCCTACAGGATAAAGAGGACTTTAGCATTGCTCACGCGGAGATCAGCCAGGCCACCCTCGATTGGCTGGGGGTCCCCGATTTACGCACCCGGATCCTGCACCCTGAGTTCATCGAGATCGAGCAGTGTGGCCCATCCGAGCCCATCACCCTTCGCATCAAGAACATCCTCAAGGAATACGACCAACGTCATGATCTCTTCAAAGAGTTGGTGCAGAATGCGGAGGATGCGGGAGCAGGTGTCTGCCGGTTCCTGGTGGACATGCGGCAAAACTCCACCCCGCCCGAGAGCCTGATCGACCCTGGCATGGCCTCCTGTCATGGGCCGGCGCTCTGGTCCTACAACGATGAGCTCTTCACTCCCGAGGACTTCGTCAACATCGTGCGGGTTGGGGCGGCTTCCAAGGAGAAGCGGACGGAGAAGATCGGGAAGTTTGGACTGGGGTTCAACTCTGTTTATCACGTGACGGACGTGCCCGCCATCCTGAGCGGCCAGTGCGTGTTGATCTTTGATCCCAACGTGACGCACCTCAGTAAGGTCATCAAGAGCCCAGCCAACCCTGGCATCAAGCTCAACCTCGGGGTGTACGGACGCTTGCTCCGCATGTACCCTGGCCAGTTCGAGCCCTACCAAGGGATATTCGGGTGTAACATGAGCCCAGGCCCTGGGAAAAGCTTCCACTACCAGGGCACGTTGATCAAGCTTCCCTTCCGCACCGAGAGGGAAGCCAGGTCCTCCGAGATGTGCAGCACTGTGTACGGCTGGCGAGAAATCAGTGCCTTGACCGAGAACTTCCGAGAGGGTGCGGTTGACCTCCTGGTCTTCCTGAGGAGCATCAAAGAAGTCTCCTTGCAACACCTGCCAGAGGCAGGGTCCCCTTCTGACCAGGAGTCCGTCAGCACCCAAATCCGCATCCGCAAGGAGGACCTGGAGATCCTGGAGGTGGAGGTGGACTTCCCGACGAGGAGGATTCAGGAGCAGTCGGTCGGAGCCGAGCACTGGGCGATCGCGGACTTCAGGGAGTCACGGATCGTGCAGATTGAGGAAGAGACGGAGTTGGGAGAACGAAACCGGCTGAGTTGCTGGCTGGTGCATTCCTGCTTCGGGACAGGCAGAGCGCTGGAGATCTCTCGGGCCGGGACGGGCAACTTCGTGCTCCCGCTGGGCAGCGTGGCCGTGCCCCTGAGCAAGAGCGCCTCCCACTGGCAGCCGGGCCTCAGCGCTCTGGCCGGAAGGGTGTTCTGCTTCCTGCCGCTTCCCATCCACAGTCAGCTTCCCGTCCAGATCAACGGCACTTTCGCTGTCTCCTCCAACAGGAAGGACCTGTGGAGCACTGGGCCCAAAGGAGAGTGGAACCAAGCCCTGCTTCAAGACCCAGTGGCTTCCGCCTACATCACCGCACTTTGGCAGCTGAAAGCCATGTCCGAGAGAGGCCAATTGAAGCAATACCATTACTACACCTTTTGGCCGGATGTCAAAGCCGTCTCCAGTCGCTTCTCCGCGGTGGCTCGGGCTCTGTACAGACTCTTTGCGGACGGGATTGACGGCTGTCCCGTCAACTTGTTCAGCGACGGCACCCGTTGGTGTTCGATGCAGAAGGCTTACTTTTTGGAAAGCGCCGTCATGGACCACCCCACGCTCGGAGCAAGCGCTTTCCAAGCCCTCTCCGGGCACCTGGCAAAGGTGTGGCCGACTGATCATCCGCTCGGCGTCTCGCTGCCCGACTGGGTGCGGGAGAGCTTTGCGGTCTGTGGGCTCGGAGCCCTGGTCAATCAAAATACCTATGACTGGGAACGTCTCTATGGGGAGGTGCTGCTTCCCGAGCTGCAGGCCATGACTCCAGCCGTGGCCGCCGCCTTCGTGCTACACGCCATCGACATGAACGACCCACGTATCGACCGGCTCCTGCAGGGGGTACCGTGTGTGCCAACCCACGAAGGAGGAGGGCACCTACAGTACATCAACAAGCTGGTGCACCCGGATGGCAAGCTAGCTTGTCTCTACTACCAGGTCGAGGGCAGATTCCCGCAGGGAACTTCCCAGGATTTTCTCCATTCCAGGAGGCTGGCCAGGCTGGAAACCTTGGGGATGCAGAAAGATCGGACCACCACGCAAGAGCTGATGGAGAGAGCAGGGACTATCCCAGAGCTAAGTCAGCGAGATACAGAGACATGCTTCCGAAGAGCCCAATCCATCTTGGACTTGCTGAAGGACCAGGAGAACCTCAATGATCAGGAGAAAGAGCAGTTCCAGAGGATAACATTCCTGCCCGCCCGGCGCCCTTGTAACCAAAGACACAAGGGCGTGAGCTGGATGAAGCCCCTCGATCTGTATAGTTACAAGCACCGGTGGCTGATTAACATGACGGAGCCAGTTTTGGAGAAAGAGGAATTCAAAGATCACAAGATCTCGAAGAAGGTCCTTGGATTTTTGGGGTTGGACAAGGTGCCGTTGGTGGGCACGGTCTTGGAGCAGTTGAAACAAGCCTACGGTGGTGCCCATCTGCCCACCAGCGATCGGAAACTGATCGCGAAGGAATGTTACAGCTACCTCTGCAAGCAGCTGAAGGCAGATCCCGCTTGCAAGAAGCAAATCTGTCACGCGGCTCAGAAATTTCCCTTCGTGTTCGTCAACGGGGAATTCGTGTCCGTCAAGCTGGTGGCCCAGAAGGTGTCCTTTGATATCGAGCCATACCTCTACGAGGTTCCCAAAGAGTACGTGGATTGTGAGGGGCTGTGGAAGTGCCTGGAGATGAAGGAACATTTCCAGCTGCAAGACTACGTCTCTGTCCTCAAGAGGATGTCGGAAAAGTACGATGGCTCGAGGTTGTCGGACAGTGACCTCGCTGTTAGCCTGAGGATCATAACCACTGGGTTTATTGAGGACCCGGGGGAAAGGGACTCAGACTCCGAGAGTGTTTATTTGCTTGACCAGGACGGTGTCCTGCGGCCTGTCACATCGCTGTATTATAACGATATGCCTTGGCGTCCAGTCACGGAAGGCACACACGTGTGTCACGGGAACATATCGAGGGAGACTGCCCTGTACTTCGGCGTGAGGACCTCTAGGAACAGAGCACTGGAGGAGCTCCAGGTTGGAGACATGTCTCTGTGGGCCCGGGAGTTCGGGCAGTACGAAAAGCTGACCACACGACTGAAGAATATTATCCTGGCCTATCCCTCCAAGCAGGACATCCTGAAGGAGTTGATCCAGAACGCCGATGATGCGGAGGCCTCAGAAATCCACTTCATTTGGGACCCCAGGAAGCACGGCCACACCAAGACCTTTGGAGAGGAGTGGAACGCACTCCAGGGTCCCGCGCTGTGTGTCTACAACAACAAGAAGTTCACGGACAAGGACATCGAAGGCATTCAGCAACTCGGGGAGGGGGGCAAGCGTAACAATCCCGAGAAGACGGGTAAATACGGCCTTGGGTTCAACTCTGTCTACCACCTGACGGACTGCCCCTCTTTCATATCTGGGGACAGCCAGCTGTGTATTTTTGATCCAAATCTCGCCTTCTTCAAGACAGCCAACCGACACTCTCCAGGAGCAGTCTTAACAATCAACGAAGAGTTCAAGACCATGTTCCAAGACGTCTATCAAACATTCCTCTCGTCCTTCTTCGACCTCCACAAAGGCACCATGTTCCGCCTACCCCTCAGGACGGCAGGGATGGCGAGCTCCTCCGAGATCTCTGACCAGTCCGTGTCCGAGAAGGAAATCCATGACTTGCTGGAGGCCCTGAGAGAGGACTCTGGGCACTTGCTGCTCTTCTTAAAGAACATCAAGAAAGTTGCTTTCCACCAAATCAACGTTGACACAGGCAAAGTTCAAAGAGACTTTCTTGTGGAAGTCAAGCTCTCAGAGAAAAGCGCAAGAGAACAAAAGAGTTTGAGGGAACATATCAGACAGGCAGCAGCGAGCTCAACCACTCGGATGAAGCCCTTTCAGGTGATCTATGAGATGGAGATCCACTCCGCCATTAACAAATCGAAGTGGATCCTGGCAGATAGGGTCGGTGCAACCGATGACCAAGAGGATTTGTTGCAAGTTAACTCCAGCACAGATGTGCCGCGGGGCTCCATTGCTGTCCCCATTGACCCACATTTCCACCACGGTAAGGTCTTCTGTTCGCTGCCCCTGCCGGTGGAGACCTTCCTGCCCGTGCACATAAATGGTAACTTTGCGGTGGACGCCTCCCGGCGAGGCCTTTGGAAACAGGACGGTGAGAGCAGCAGGTTGCGTTGGAACGAGTTCTTGAAGACGCACGTGATCGCTCCTCTATACGCAGACGTGCTGGAGTACCTCAGGATCAAATATGACCTGAACAGACGCTGGGATGAACTGGGTAGAATATATATCGAAACCAATTATCTGAGACTCTTTCCCTGGATTTCTATAATTGTGCCCAAAGATTGGCATGAGATGGTTAACGAGGTGTACAGATCCATCAACAGGGAAAACCTTCCGCTCTTCCCAGTTGTCAGACACATTACCAACAAGATCAAACATGGTCAAACATGGTCAAACACGGTCAAACAAAAGAGAATAACTTGGTCGAGTCTGAGAAAGGAAACCCAAGACCAAGTGCCTCACTTTGTTATCAGTTTGCCTCCGACTCATTCCTCAAAATTCACTGAACACCTCGAGAACATTGGCATGAACCTGCTCCACCAATGCGAAACGATGGACACTGTTTATCAAGCGCTGCAAATGGCTAAGGTGGAGAGCGTTTCCCTGAGCCCAGACACAGTCAGGAACTTCCTTCGAATCCATCCCTTGAACAAGCCAGGTGTGACCACTGACAGTGGGCTTCCTATGCCCCTCCAATCATCTGTGATCAACGATGATAAGCGTTGCAAGGATCTGCTGAGCTACTGCATGTCAGATTTCCAGAATAAAGCAAAAAATAACTACGGTTGCCTAGTCGAGTTGCCTCTGCTGGTCACACAAGACTACCTGCTGAGAAAGTTTCAGCTGTCAGCTCCCAAATACATCTGTAAATTCCATGACTTATTCCCAGAGGAACAGATCCACTTTGCAAACTATGATATCCACAAATCTCACAAGTGCCACTTGGAGAAGGCAGGTTTCCTGAAAGACTTCCCATTGTCAGACTCTCTGCCCTTCATCCAGGACAAACTGAGGAGACTTGTTAACCCAAGCAACCCTCTACAGACATTGAGATTTGACAAAAAGGACAAGGCATTTGTGGAATGGCTGGAGAAAGTGTGGAAATATTTTGCAAGCCAGTTTGATGAGTCCAACCCGGAGAAACTTACCAAGCAGATCAAAACCTTCACATCCTTGTTCTCGGACATTGCTCTGTTACCTGTGGCCTTCCCCAGTCAAGGCGAGGACCACCAGCTCGAGCCTCTGAGACAAGTGGCCAGCGTCTTGTACGAAACAGAAAGCAACAGCACAGCACAGATCCTACTGAAGCTTGGCTTTGGGAAGGTAGTTAGGGAATATATTGCTATCACCATGCGTTTAAATTTCCTAAAAGATTGTTCAATGAACACCTGTGACCCAACCTCTGTTCTGCACCAGTTGTGCTCCAGGCGTCTAATTTGGTCTACGTTGAGCGACCTCGAGTTTGGGAACCTTTGCCATTTCCTTCTGGAAGGGATGAGGAAGAGTAAAAACAAAGTCCAATACAAGAAACAATTCAAGTCACTGCCGTTGTTCCTAACCATGCAGGGTAGACGTGAAAGCATTGCCAAGTACCAGAAGATCTACATTCTAGAGTCTCAGATTAATACACACTTCCCAGAGTTGTATCAACTGGACCAGTTGAGTGTGTTCCTGAACCCCAACTCAATGAACATACAACTGTGTAAAGATTTGGACTTCCAAAAGATAGACGACCTGGATTTCTTCACGGGTTATCTCCTCCAGAACGTGATGCAAGTTGCTGATGACCAAAAAGTGTACATTATCCAGCTGCTCTTTCAGATCCGCACACGGTACTTAGAATACTACAATAAGAAGGATAACATCGCCCAGGCTCTTAAAGATGTGAGGCTTGTACAGGATTTCCATGGCGTCTTTCGGAAGGTCTCTTATTTCTACAACAAGGATGTGAACTTGTTCACACTCATGATCCCCCAAGACAGATTCATTCCCGTGAAGTATTTTCAATACATGCAGGAACATTTAGCCCTGCAGAGAATGTTTGAGGAACTGGGCCTGAAGACAGAGGTATCCGAGGAAGACTACGTCAACTTTGCAACTCAAGTGGCGGAGGGCGCTGAGCGAGGCATGGAGTTCATGGAGCGGAAGAAGAAGAGCGAAGTCTTGCTTGCTCACTTCCTCCAATTGAAATTGGAGAAAGATAAGCGTCTGTCGTTGTGCGAAAGGATGTCATGCATTAAATTCATCCTACCGCTTGAAATCGATCATAAGCTCTGCGCGTTGTATACACCTCATACAAAGGAACACAAGTTCATCGCCTTCAGGGGATCACTGGTACACAGAGAGAACCAGCCAGAGCTGGTGTGGACCTGCCAGTCTATCCTGCCCAAGAACTGTGACAAGAATTGTGAGCTGGTGAAGGCTGCCGGGGCCGTTGGTGCTCCATCTGAAAACACGGTGGTGGAAAACCTCCGGAATGTTTGCTCGGCAAAGTGCAACAACCCTGCCACCAGAGACACGCGGAAGAAGGTCCTGGAGGCCAGTTATGCGTTCCTTCGAGAGTCTTCCATCGATGGCCAGTCCCTCGCCGGCCTCCCGGTTGTCCTGGTTGAAGACGGCTCCAAACTGGTGGAAGCCAGCCAGGTGGTCATCTCGTTTCCAAACCACGACGAGTTCGGACCTTACCTGTACAGACTCCCGCCCCCACTGGCTCCCTATCAGGAGTTCTTCCAGAAGATTGGGGTGGCGTTGGAGGCCTCGGCTTCCCACTTCACCTGGGTCCTGAGGGCTATTCACAAGGACGTTGATGTCATGGGGGCCAAGGCCTGCCTGAATCCAAACCAGATGAAGGCCGTGAAGCGAAGCGTGCAGCAGCTCTTCCTGATCTTAGCGTCCAATCCTTCGGAGCGGGAGCTAAACCGTCTGAAACCGCTGTACCTGCCGTCCATTGACGATGATCTGTTTCCATCCAACACCTTATGCTTCAACGATAGGAGCTCTTCGCATTCAAAGAGGAATGTGGTTGCCTTGTCAAAGGAGTTTACTTTTCTTGTGGATCTGCACATGTGCCACCTCGCCGGCGACACCTACCAGCAGATCATATACTTAAAACTTTTACCAGAAGAAATTCGCCCCAAGATGCTCTCTGAGGTCACCGAAGAGCTTCTCAATGAGTCCATTCTGCAGTCCTGTCCCTACGCAGATCAGTGTGAGTTCCGAGGCGCATTTCATGACCTTCTTGTGTCCCCATGTTTCAGAGCTGGGTTGGTGAGTTTGTTAAGGAGTCAGTTCAACGGAGAGATATCGCAAGATGAAGCACTGGCTGACTGTGACCGTGTCTTCTCCAACATAGAGATCCTCTGCTATGAGAAGCTGGAGACCTTCCTGCGATGTGGAGACAAAGACTTGACTGAAACCAGTCGCGAAAAACACGTCTTCACGAAGAAGAGCAACACGGGCAGCTGTGTGGTTTACCTGGAGCACAAAGACAATATACAGTTTCACCAGAAGACCGCTATCATTCATTCATTGTCGACCGAGATCAACTTGCTGTTGAAGAATATATTAAGCACAAATTCAGTACTGATCCTCATAATGATGCTCAGCTGTAAAAAGGCCAACGATATCCAGAAACTTCTGGAAGACAGAGGAATCCATGAGACCAGCTCCGAGTCACAAATTTCCCTGGAACCACCCAATCCTGGTGATCTCATCCCTGAAATCCTGATTCACACTCTTGAGATGGACTTCATGCACAATTTCATCCTGGGTGAGTATGTCGGCTACAAAGAGGACAAGAGTGAGCACTACGTCTACGCCGTTATCATTGAGCTGTTTGACGACAAGGAGCTGGAACAGACCCCCATCTTGCGTCGCTATAAGATCAAGGTGGGAACAGACTCCACCATCGATGTCACACATCTTGATCTCTATAAGTTTGTCCGATTCAAGCAGCCCCAGGAAGAAGATAAGGATTTTGATCCCAATAAGTTTGTCCAGTGCAAGTCTGAGGAGAAGGAGAACGATCTTGATTCAGAGCCACGACTGGAGGACACCTGCCTGGTATTTGGTGAGCGACATAGCCCCAATGATCATAGCAAGCGAAATAGCCCCAATGATCGACCATTTGATGCGCTGGGAGAAGGACCAAGAGATGGCGCACAAGGTGGACCGAGAGGGAGGCCAAATTTTGACAAGCCCTTCAAAGACCTCAAGAGAGAAATCGATGAGGAACTGGCCACAATTTGGAAGCTTCCCAAAGAATACAGAGAGAAGGCGATCAGGCGCTTATATCTGAAGTGGCACCCGGACAAGAACCTGGAGCAGACCGAGCAAGCGACCAGACTCTGTCAGTACATGGCCGAGAAAATCCAATTGCTACAGAAGGGCGGAAGGACCTTCTCCACCGACTTCAGCAAGTGGAACAGGGAGGCGAGGGGGCAGAGGGAGAGTAGGAGCCGGTACCAGAAACACGGTTGGAGGAACGAGGGTTGGTACTGGAACCACCAGGGGACATACGGCACGCAGAGCGGGCGGGCTTACGGCAAACAGAGGGGTTGGGCGGGTGGCCAGGACGGGGCCCGGCCAGACAAAGCCGAAGGCCAGCGCTGGTTTAAGCAGTCACAGTGCGATCTTGCAGCTGCCTCCCATGACCTAGGCCGCAGGGCGACTGAGTGGGTTTATTACAAGGTCCACCAGGCGGTGGAGAAAGCCCTGATCGCAACCAATTACGCGAAGAGGGGTGAGTTGATCAGCGGCACCATCTCCGTCCTCGCCCGCCAAGTGTCCGCCTTCAGCCCAGACCTAGCCAACCTGGAGAGCCTAGTGAGCGACCTGAGAGAGCTCGGAGTGGACAGCAAGAAAACCCAGTATCCCAATTGCTGGCCACAGTCTCTCATTCCCAACCAGGTGTTCCAAACCAAGGCAACAGACGAGCAGAAGGTCCTGAACATAGCACAGGACATATTGGATAAGGTTGAGACGTACCTTTCTTAATCAGGCACTGCGCGCACTCTCTCTCCCTCTCTCTCTCTCTCTTTTCCCTCCTCCCTCTACCATCTCCACTCAACATTAAGGTACAGGAGAAGAGAAGCTTTCCCCGTCCGTATCTGAATCCTTTTGTATATCATTGTCTTAAGAACTTGTGGGGAAGAAAACACCTTAGTCTCCAACCAGATTTTTCTTGTGGGGGTGGGGGGGTGGGGGGTGAGGAGAAGAAACCGGTTTCTAAACCAGCTTGATAATAATAATTCTTAATAATCCTTGCTTTAATAATAACAACTTGATAATCCTTGCATTTGACATGGCGCCTTATCACGACTTTAATGCAATTTAATGTAAGTTAACGGAAGGTGTGAAGTCAACGCCTTGTCAATCTGTGGGCGTCTGCTCTTGAGACACCGGTTAAAATACACTGCAGTATCGTTTAATTTGCAGTAATAGAAGACAAGAGGACACGGATTTCGTGTTTCAAAGGGGGCAATTTCTTTTTAAATAATTTTTATTATTATTATTAAATTCCCCCTCTCTCTCTCTCTCTCTCTCTCTTTCCCTTCCTCCCTCCTTTCAAAAACCTGTCTTATTTTTTTTAAAAAAAACCAAGCACCTCGGGCTGCTGAAGGCAAAGGAATCGCTATATTTGGTGACTTAAAGAAATGCAATGTATACTAATTCGCACAAATGTTCTTGTTGTTGTTGTTGTTGCATTTGATAAACCAGAGGTAGGGAACAGTGGTAAAGATGTTGACATCATTTCACTTTATTAGAAGAGAGTCATTGTCTTAAGACACCAAAAATAGCCCCCACACTCCCTCCCTCCCGCGCTGTGTTAATGGTAACGGTGCAGCAATGGGCAGCACAATGTCAGCATTAAATATATATATATATGCAACGTGATATCAGAGCGAGCTACGCATGGGCAGAAGCTCGCCCCCCCTCTCTCTCTCTCTCCCCCCCTCCTCATTACGTTATCTCGCACAATTGGGGGGGGGGTCGTCTCACATGGCTCAGTCTCCCAATGAAACGGGGGGGAGGGAGGGAGGGGGCCGGGGTGGGGGACGGGGGGACGGGTGGAAGCAAAATGCAACATATAATAATTATCCCATTCCTCATCACCGTCCCTTTGATCTCCTCCACTTCATCTCCCAGGAAAGATTTTAATAACAACAATCCTGGGGTGTGACACAGCACTTCCATCGATGGGTCTCTCAAAGCGCTTCACGGAATATACTGTAAAGTGGAGTGACTGTGGAATTTTGGGGGCCAAACCCGGCAGCCATTTCTGCACAGCAGCGTCCCCACAAATAGTCGTGGATTGAGTGACCAAATTATTTTTTTTCTTTTGAAGGGATTATTACCCCCGGAAAGCGACTAACAGCCGGGTTCCTACTTACTGCTGGTAAATAGAGGTGTGTGTGTGACTGTGCAGTAAGGAAACTTGCCTAAGGTTTCGCCCTGACCTGCCCGGGAATCGAACCCGGGTCCACTCCTCGCCGGGGCCTCTCCTTTACCTGTCAGGCTACAGCATTCATCTCATCTCACTGCTGACTTTCCTAAGCAATCCCACACTTCGGAGAAATCTTGAATTCCTCCCACCCGACCCGACCCCACTTCCCCTCTCCCCCCTCACAGTCATGTAACGTGACTTACAAGGCAACCGGCTTCAGAATTAAGGCTAAAGTGGACCAAATTATTATTGTTTATTGTTTTTTTTAATGGGATTAATATTACCCTCCGGAAAGTGATCCGACAGTTGACGAAGAAGCGCATTCCTACTTACTGTGACTTCCAGTTTAATATTCTTAGTGGTTTAAGCATTAAGTTGCTGAATGTTGAGACTTTCTGAAATATATATATATAAAAATAAATACAGAGTAAATGTGGAGGAGGGAGGAGAACTCCCTACACATGTTGCTATCCGTGTGTGTGCCCTCGTATCTATACCTCACTTCTTTTTACCGTCTCAGCTGCTCACCAACCGAGTAACGCACCCGATGGGTGACCTCGACACCATTATATCTCAATCTCTTCAATCCCTCTTGACCTACATAATAGCTGTAAAGGCGACATTACTCTTCACCTGCGAACCTCACCCCTCCCCTCCCCTCCCCTCCCCTGGTTGAAACTCTTCCCTTTATGTCCCAGGGCACCCACCGCTGATAGGCGGCGCCTTAAAGTGCTTGTTCCGACTGAAGGGGCCTGAGATGGAGTCCCAAACCCCAGATGGGAGGCAGCTGACACCCCTTTTCCTTCCTCTCTCTCCCCCCATCCCACCCCTCCTCCTGCCCCGGCAAAGGACCACTGCGCCATTAGACTGACAACACTTCCTGTCACTAGTATTGGGGGTGGGGGTGGGGGGGGCGTACGAGTGAGTGAGTGGGGAGAGAGTGAGAAGGAGTGACGCGTCTTGCTTCCAGCCCCCAACAGTAACGGGCAGAGGAAATAATAATGATCCTCGCATTCGATGCAGCGCCTTATCACGTCTCTGAGACGCCTCAAAGCGCTTCACAGGATTTACTGTCAAGTGTAGTGACTGTATATCTTGTGTAGCCAAGTGTGTCTATTGTCTCCTCCTAGATCAGGTACAAGTGAGGCAACTCCTCCAGCGATGCTCCAGCCTCCGCGGTGCCCTCCCCCCACGCGGTGCCCGGCTGATCGGGGCTGTGTTCTGCCCCCCCGCCCGGCAGCCCCGACTCCGAGGGGAAACCCGGCACGGGCGAGGCGAGGGCGAGGCGTGAGCGGGCGCTCTGTGTGACCGCTGACTCCCGGCTGAGGGTCTCTGGCTGGTTATCGGGCAGCGAGCTGGGGGGCTGCCTTGCCTCATCGCTCCCGGAGCTGGGCCTGTTTGTCTCCTGACGTGTTTGTGACGGGATCCGGACGCTCTCCTCTCGCGCCGAGCCCCCGGAGTCGGGCCAACTTCCCTCCTCACTGTCCTCGGATTCTGATACAGCTTTAACTAAAAGAAAAGGCGACGGTTTGTTCGTTGGGTTGGTTCTTTTTTTCTCTCTCTCTCTCTCTCCCTTGTTTTTTTCTTTCTCACTCTCCCTCTCTCTTTCTCTGCCCTTTTGCTCCCACTATCCCTTACTCCCCCCACTTTCCAAACGTGCCGCCGTCGTCACGTTGCATTCCCTTGTGAGCTTGCAGCGTTATCAATGCCACGCAACACAAAATTACCTTCGTGCAGCGCCGTTCACGTCGGGAGGACGTCCCAAGGCGCTCGGGGCGGGGGGGGTGAGTGGGAATGAACCCTGTTTCCCTTCACACCCCCTCCCACAGCCGGAGGGAGGGGCAGGAAATCACCCAGCCCTGTTGGGAGCGTCCCGAGGCGATGTTTGTTTTGTTTAGCCGAGCCTGAGTGCCTGACACACGCGGAAACCCATCACCGCGGCTTAAGGGTCTCCAAACCAAACTGAGAATTCCCACCTACACACCTGGAAATCCCACCGATAGATTGTTGGAATGGAATGCGCTCTCTCTTTCTCTCTCGCTCTCTCTCTTTGGATGGAGGGAGGGAGGGAGGGAGGGATTCTGCTAACCTATTTCCGGAGAGTATTGGGCGCAGGTTGGAAAATAAATTCGGACCCGCAATCGCTGGCTTGGGAGGCCATTCGGCCACTGCGCTCCGGCTGGGATGGTGGGGGTGGGGGGGGGCGAAGCTGAGCAAAGACAGACAGACAGACAGACGCACGCACGCACAGGGAGTATTACCTGCCATTGACCTGCTGCGCTGTGATGCCTCGGCAGCCAGAGCGTAGGACAGGCTAATGATACGGTCCCTCTCTCTCTCTCGCACGCCCCCCTCACCGTCGGGTGGGCTGCAGGGCTCTCCCACTGCACTGGGACTGGAGGTCACAAAACACAGCACAGGTTTGAACCTTTTCAGTCACTTTGCAGTCTGGTTTCTGCCCTATTTCCTCCTCTCCCTCTCCCACTCCCTCCCTCCCTCTACCTCACTCTCTCTCTTGATTATTGGAATGGAATGCGCTCTCTCTCTCCCTCTCTCCGTCTCCTTCCTACTTACCTCATTCCAGAACGTATTAGCGCGGGTTGGCAAGAGCCAAGGCTTCGGTGAAGCGCAGATGACAGGTAATAATAATCCTGGCATTTGACACAGCGCCTGATCACGTCTTCGAGACGTCTCGAAGCCCTTCTCAGGATACGCTGTAAAGTGAATGAATTGACTGCACTTTGTGGGCGAAGCCACAAATGACTGATGACAAGATGTTGCTGTTATCAGTCATTTGGTGTCAACGGTAATAATTGGTGCGTCGGCCTGACTGTTATTTGTATGTGAAGCGAGCGGGGGAATGGGAGTGGGGGGGTAATGTGAGGGGGCGCTTCCCTTCCCCCCCACCACCACCCCCTGGTCCCCTGTACTCCTCACCTGGTCTTGGTCACCACTGCCCTGATCCTCTCCAGAGCTTCCTGATGTTCCTGCCTCTGTCCTGGGCTCAGGATGGAGTCTGGGTCCTGCCGCACACAGTGGGTGGCGATCGCCATCTTACTTGGTTTACACTGAGCAACAGAGACACAAAGACAGAGAGACAGAGAGAGAGAGAGAGAGAGAGAGAGAGACGATACAGAGAGGAATGCTGAATCCATTCAAACATTCAAGGCTGAGGTGGCGAGATGTTTGTTGAGTCGGGGGATCGAGGGATATGGGGCAAAATCAGGGCATTGGAGTTAAGATACCGATCAGCTGTGATCTAATGGAATGGCGGAACAGGCTCGAGGGGCTGAATGGCCTCCTCCTCTTCCTACGTTCCTAGGGACTGCAATTGTGAAAGAGGCTCTCTCTCTCTCTGGCTTGCGAGGCGAACGCTGTAACCTCTAACCGCTCCATCACCGGGTCTCCAATTGTACCAAACGTGAGTAAGTATTTACTGTACTGTTTTCTTTCTTTAACTGAAGGGGGGGGCGGGGGGGGAAGGAAACCCCGACCTCACTGACCTCTCGCCGCGCCGTCCGTCCGGCTTCGCTCTCCCTCCCCCGCTGGGGTGCGGGGGTCATGGTCACCAGCTTGTTGGAGACCTTGACGGGAGACGCAGCGCAGCCCCCGCGCTCCGCGGGCAGCCTGGCTCCCACCGTTACCCCACCGTTGGTTGGCTTGGTCCGCGAGTCGGTGGCCACGACCCCAGGGCTGGGGCTGGGAGGGTGGGAGAGGCTGGTCACTGGCCGGACACTCAGCACCAGCCCGGATGGTGGCTTCGAGCTCGCTTTGTCCTTTAGCCCCAGCGTCGCTCGCTCATGTCCCTGAGAGAGAGAGAGAGAGACAGCAACGGTGAGGCTCAACATCATAACCCACAGAACACAACCACTTGAGTGTGTGTCTGTGTGTGTGTGTGTGTGTGTCACTCGGGCTCAGTGTGTGTCATCAGTGGCTGATGTCGGCGGGAACGTCACAAAGTGTAGTGACTGAGTGTTTTGTGGGCGAACCCGGCAGCCAATTTGCGCACAGCCCTGCCCCCGCAAACAGCCGTGAATTGAGCCAGCACTTTTATTTGGTGTGTGGGGGGGAGGGTGAGGGGGGTGAGTGGTGGTTGTCGGACAGGACGCCGGGAGAGAGGGACGGAGAGATTGGGGGGGCGGTGGGACATCGTGGTGAACAGGTTGGTACCAATGAGGTGAAGTGATCTGTAGGTGAGTGTGAGGTGCGGAGGCACAGGGATGCTCTCTCTCCCTCTCCCCCCCTCTCTCTCTCTCTCTCTCTCTCGAGGCTGTGTACCATGGCTGGCGATCGCCTCTGTCCTGGGGCGGAGGGTTTGAACCTCTGGGCTTCCCAGTGTCGCTTCATCCTCTCCATCTGCTCCTCCGCGCTCATCCTCACCCGCCGGGTCGCTGTGCCAACCTGAGGACGCTGGTACAACAAGGTCAAAGTGTGAGCGCCACCAATGAATACCGCTCCCTCATTCACTCGCTCCTCCATTCCCTCCCTCCCTCCCTCACTCGCTCCCTCCCTCACTCGCTCGTCCAGCAGACATTTACCGACATTCACGTCCTCACCTTGTGAAGGTCTCCATTAGCCGGTGAGTCCCGATGGTCTCTCTGCTCCCCCGCCCGGCCTTGGGGCTGGTTCTGGAGGTGTGCGGGGGAGAGGGAGGCGGGGGCAGGTTGCCGAGGTGGGGGCTGCTCCTGGGGGGAGAACGCCCACGGCAGGGGGGGCCGTGGGGGGTCTCTTCGGGCACCTTTGGAGAGCGAGGAGAGAGAGAGAGAGAATCAGTTGGGAGCCGGGGAGCCTGAGTTTGAGACCCGCCGTGCGCTCCTGCACGCTGTCCTGCCCAATGATGCCCAATTGGCTGCCGTGTTCCACCCACAAAATACCGTCTGTTTAATCCACTTTACTGTGTATCCTGTGAAGCGCTTTGAGACGTCTCAATGGCACGGTGAGGCTCTGTGTCATATGCAAGGATTATTTATTACCTTTTTCATGTGTAGTGACTGTGTTTTCTAGGCGCATCCAGCGGCTAATTCCAGCTCAGTAGCTACGTCCCCGCAAACAACCGTGAAGCGAATGAATGCTTTTATGGGGCGGGGGGTGGGGGGTGGGAGTGTCAATCGGGTAAAACACCGGGAGGAGAGAGCGTGTGTTAGAGAGAGAGAGAGAGAGAGAGAGGAATTCCCTTCTCATTCTTGAACGGAGACGTGGAGGGATCTTTAACGTCCGCCTAAACAGGGCTCAGACGGGGGGAGCTCTTATCTTCCCCCGAGGGACTTAGCCCATCCCTCCGCTTACCTCTGGGAATTCTCTATCCGGTACCGGCCGCACTGCGGTGGGAGAAGGAAGCGGTGATATTCCCACCGGACTCCACGGAGAGAGCGTCTGTAGTCCTGAAGGTTGCTCCGGGAGAGGGGAAAGCGAGAGCGGGAAATGCGGGAAAGGGGAATGCGGGAGAGGGGAATGCGGGAGAGGGGAATGCGGGAGAGGGGAATGCGGGAGAGGGGAATGCGGGAGAGGGGAAACTGGGAGAGACATCACTGGGGAGGGAGACGGGAATAAAACAAACTGGAGTCAGCAGTTTTACAATACAGATTGACATTTATAGGGATAATTAGGAGGACGTTCCAAGGGGTTTGACGGCACTGGTTTGTGGTCCGCCCGCAGGGGGGGTGGGGGGGGGGTTGGGGGAGAGGAGTCGGAGGGTGGGGGGGGAGGGAAAGATGACCAAAACGTCTTCAAAGAGGCAGCTGTTGACATGGAACAGACTTCACATTCTCTCTTCCCCCCCCCACCCTCTCTCCCTCCCCCTCTCTCTTCCTCCCCCTCCCAGTCTGTCTCTCTCTCTCTCTCCCCTCCTTCTCCCCCCACCCCCCTCACCCCCCCATCCCTCGCCCCCCACACACCCCCGCACCCCCCGACCCCTGTAGTTGGAATCGAGTGATCCCGTGAGCTCTGCTCCTCTGCGCACAAACCCGAGGCCACCTCCCCGATACCTGGCTGTGTTATGGCCCCAATGGCTGTCTGGAAGCTCCTCTTGTTCCCCCTGAGGCCAAACATAACGTCTTCTGTCATCCTCAGCTGCCTCCGCGCCCCCACCTGCTCCTGTCAGGGTAGAGGCAGCAAATCAGGTGTGTTGACATCTCCCCCCACCGCCCACCCCCCACCAAGTTGTAGTGAAACACTGCAACATCCTGTGCTCTTGACGTGAGAGGGGCAGTGGTCAGAGGTTATTTATTACCTGGGGGTCCCCACAGCGACTGACGAGGTCACATGAGGCTCGGAGCAGGTACAGCTCGTTCTCCAGACCCTCGTACTCCCCCCATGCTCGCTCCACCTCCTGTCTCCAAACACAACACAAGGTCAGGACATCAGCTCAGCCGTTCGCTCTCCCGGGCAGAAGGCCGTGGGTTCGGGCCGGTGGACGCAGACCCGCTAATGGGCTTCGCGAAGGCAATTAAATCAGCTGCCGCAAGTGTGGAACACACAGTCACTACGCATCAGAGTGAAGTCCCCTCGGGAAGTGCAGTGAGTGTGGGATGGATGGGGCGAACCCAGCGGCTGATAGTAAGCATAGAGGGTCTCCCTAACCCATCCATTCCCACCACCCCCCCACCCCGGCCACCCTTAAACACATACAGCCCACGCGGCAATGGGGGAGGGGGGAGCGGAGGGAGGGAGGGGTAGTGTGGCCGCCTGTTGGGTTACCGTGGTGATGTCGCACAGCTTGGCTCGGGTGTGAATGAGTTCCTCCTGTAGCAGTGACTGCTGGTAACTGATCCTCTCCACCATCCCGGGCTGTTGGCTGAACTCCTCCATGCGGCAGTGGGTCACCTCCAGCACACCTTCCAGCTTGTCCTGAGGGAGAGGGCAGCCCGGGCGGGAGTCACAAGACACCTTACTCCACACGCGCGCGCGCGCACGCAACACGCGCGCACGCAACACGCAAGACACACACTTGTCAACCTGGGAGTCTCGTAGCTCGGTGGTTAGGTCGCCCGCCCCCGTAAGCGAGAGGATCCGGTTTCAATTCCCTATGGGGCTGGGCAAAACCTCAGGCAAGTGTCCTTACTCCACACGCACACGCACGCACACACGCAACACGCGCGCACACAACACGCACACACACACACCCACGCCTCTGCTTGCCAACAGGGGTTAGTCGATTGGCAGATCACTTTCCGAGGCTAATAATCCCTCCGTTAAAAAATTGGGTCACGCGATCCATGACCGTTTTGTGCCCAATTGGCTGCTGCGTTGTGCCCACAAAACACACAGTCAATCACACTGTATCCAGTGAAGCGCCTTGAGACGCCTCGACGACGTGATAACGCGCTACATCACACGCAAGGATTATTATTATTATTGTTATTATTGTGGTGGTTGTCTCTCCTCCATACCTTCTCTGCCTTGAGCTGGTCAGCCTCTGCCACCAGCCCCTGCAGCAGTTTGTCTTGTCCACAAAGTCTGGTCAGCAGCACCTGGAGATGGACGGAGTGAAGACCAACAGTCAGCGTTGGTGCCCTCAGCCACCACACCCCCCCCCCTCCCTCCCTCCGCTCCCCGGGACCCTGAAATTCCTCCTCGCCTCAACCCGTACAATCCACTTCCCTTCAAATCTAACTCTGAACCAAGTCCTACTTTACTTTGGTAAAGGAGAAGTCCTGTAGCTCAGTGGTTAGAGCGAGAGGACCCGGGTTCGATTCCCGGGCAGGGAGAAACCTTAGGCAAGTTCCCTTACTCCTCACACCCGCCTCTTATTTACGCAGCAGTAAGTTAGTCAATTGGCAGATCGTTTTCCGGGGGTAATAATCCCTCCAAAAATAAGCTCAATCCACGACTGTTTGTGGGACTTTGTTGAGCGCAATTGGCTGCCATGTTTCGGCCATTAAATGCGTCGAAAAATCCACATTACAGTCTATCCTGTGAAGGCCTTTGAGGCGTCTCAATGAAGTGATGAGGCGCTGTGTCAAATGCAAGGATTAATATTGTTATTATTATTATTTAAACTGCGAGCGACTCACATCAACCTGGTTCTCGGACACCCTGAGAGACCGTGAGGAATGCTCTCGAAACAACTCCAGCCCAGGCGCCTGAAAGAGAAGCAATTGAAGGGGAACGGTTAACACCAGGGGAACCTCATGGGGATTTCTCTCCACCTCCCCGACCCCCGCCACCCACCCACCCGCCCACCCGCCCCTCTCCTCGCCTCCCTCCCTCCCTCAGCGCGGAACACAACAAAAAAAATAAAGACTGAAAGGTTCCAATAGATGAAAGCGCTTTGAGCCGTCTCAAAGACGTGCTATAAGGCGCTATATCAAACGCAAGGATTATTATTGTTGGACACTTCCGTGAAATAAACACCCGGACTGTGGACTGTGTTCCCAAACGGGTGAGAATTTCCTTCCGACGTCAACAGCAACTCGCGTTCATGTCGTGCGATCAAACAGGGTCTTGCGACGGATCTTGAATGAGAGGGAAGGGGCGGAGGTGGGTTTCAGAGAGTATGTGGGGGTTTGGGGGGAATCACTCACTGTGTGGTTTCCTGACAGACGTGGGGTACTGACGGTCCGGGTGAGGTACGAGTGTTGGGGGGTGAAGCACCTCTCGGTCCAGGCCCCCGCAGACTGCTCGACAAAAGGGAAGCAGAGAGAGAGTAGCGGCCATCACTGTCCGGCCGTCAACGCAGGTGGTCTCGCAATCACAGCTTCGGATGCAGCCCAGCACCTCGAAAATGTCCTCCGCCCCTACCCCCCCCCCGCCCCCACCGTTCCCCCGCACCCCCCACCGAGCCCGTCCCAACAGCACCACTGCCCGTGCGTGTGCGTGTGTGTCAGTCAGTCACCCGGCTGATCACCATGATGGGTTTCCGTGTGTGCGTGTGCCAGACACCCGGCTGATCACTGTGATGGGTTTCTGCACATGCGTGTGTGTGTGTATGTGCCAGACACCCCCGGCTGATCACCGTGATGGGTTTCTGCACATGCGTGTGTGTGTGTGTATATGTGATGGGTTTCTGCACATGCGTGTGTGTGTATATATGTGATGGGTTTCTGCACATGCGTGTGTGTGTGTATGTGCCAGACACCCCCGGCTGATCAAACCGCCCACAGCCCACAGTCGCCGTGAAGATGACCAGATTCACGCAACCGGAGTTCAAGCCAACCTTACCCACGAGGGTTGCCTTGTGAGGGTGGTGTCCAGCGGGTAGTGGTCAGTGGGGAGGACGGTCACTCTGTCCGCTGGGGTGTGGGGTCTGAGGCCCAGCCCGGGTGGTCTCCCTGGCGACTGACCGCTCCACACTCTGGTCGTTCCGTCCTCCGTAGCCGCGAGGCTCAGCCTATCCCGGTGCCCGTGTTGTCTCCCGGTAGGAACGCCGCGGAATCTCCCGGGCGAGGGAGCCTTGTGGTCCCCTGCTCCCGGCGGGGGGACGTCCAGCCGGCCGACCGGGGTCTGGGGCCGGACCCGGGGGGAGGACGAGGTCACGTAATATCCCACCGCGAAGCCGCCTGGAACGCCGGGAAAGCCGGGGGCCTGAAGCTGGGACTGGAGCTGGGTCTGGGGCTGGAAGTAACCGGTGGGGAGGGAGCGGGGAAGCACGTCAAACCTGCCGATGGGGGTGTGGGGTCTGGCTCGAGCCCTCCCGGTCTCGAGCTCCTCGGCCGAGCCGCTGTGGGGGGACCCAGCCCCCCGTGGGAGGGGGAGGGAGGGGCGTCCTGGGGAGAGAGCCCGTGACGGAGTCGGGAGCAAGCCCCGGCTATACGCTGTGGTGTCGGAGAGGGGGGTCAAGTACCCGCCGTCTGGCGTGTCCGGCCAACCCACTCCCTCCTCGGGGCCGCCCGGGCTCTTCCCTGGGTGGTCTCGGACCCCGGCTGCCGACGGGGGGACAGTGACGGTGATTGTGAGAGCGTCCCCGCACCCCCTCCCCTCCCCCCCGCCCGGCCTGACAGGGTGGACGGTCTGTGCCGAGCCGGGGGGCTCCCTGCGCTGCCCATCGCCAGCCGGACCCCCTCGGTAACCATTCAGCGGGTGATATTCATAGAGATTCCCCGACTCGGATTTCACCAGATATTGTCTGCGGGAGAGACACCGAGAGAGAGGGAGAGAGAGAGGGAGGGAGAGAGAGAGAGAGAGAGAGGGTAGCGTGAGGTTAGACTGTACCAGTTTGTATGTGTCTCTGTTTGACTGTATGCGTGTGTGTGTGACTGTATGTGCGTGTCTGTGTGTAAGACGGTGTGTGTCTATTTCTGTTAGGGTGTGTGTGTCTGTCTGATGTGTGTGTGTGTGTGTATGAGTGTGTGACTGTGTGCGCGCGTGTGTCTGTGTTTGACAGTGTGTGTCTGTATGTGTCTGGTGTGAGGGTGTGACTGTGTATGTGCGGGTCTGTGTGTGAAATGGTGCGTGTCTATTTCTGTTAGTGTGTGTCTGCGTTTGACTGTGTCTGCATGCGGGTCGGTGCGTGTCAGATGCCGAGCGGGAACGTGTTTGGGGACGTGCGAGGTCTGAGGATCTTTTAACGTTAATTGTTGTTGTTGTTGTTGTTGTTGTACGAGCCGCGAAGGCCACGGACTCACTCGTCGGTCTCTCCGTCGCGGAGCTCCTCCTCCTGGGAGCGAACCCACCTCTCCACGTGGGACATGGAGTCACTGCTCCGGCCCTCGGGCTCCCGGGCGGTCTCAAACCCCAGTGTCCTGCCCTGCGAGTTGCTGGCGGGGGCCGGGGCCGGGGCGGGGGTGGGGGCGGGGACGCTCTGCGGGGGGAGGGGGAGGCGTTCCAGGGTGATGGAGAGCGACGGAGCCCGTTCGTGTCTGCGTTCGTGGCGAGCGGTGGGGGAAACCCCCTCGGCTCTCCCCCCCGGCCCCCCGCACTCCGCCGCCCCCCCGGCCTCGGACAGCTTGGCGATCTCCAGCGACTCGGCGCTCCGGGAATTTGGGAAGAATCCGGATTTGGTGAAGTCTCCGAAGCTCGAGCATCGCTGGACGTAAGGCAAAAGGCTCAGACCCTCACCAGAGGAGCAGCGACTGAGGGGGAGAGACAACAACAACAACAGTGAGTAAACACAGAGGCTCATATACACCCACACACACATACACACACTCACATACACACTCATACACTCATATACACACACAAATACACACACTCACACGTATACACACACTCACATACATACACACACTCACACGCGCACACATACACACTCCCATACACACTCATACACTCATATACACACACACTCACACACACACACTCATACATTCATATACACACACACATACACACTCACATACGCACACGCACTCATACACTCACATACACACACTTACACTCACACACACACACACTCTCATATACGTACACTCACACATACACACTCGCATACATACAATCGCACGCCCTTCCTTCCTTCCCCAACTTCAGGTCGCGCCCTGGAGATCTCCCCCCTCCCCCCCACCACCCCCCACCGCCTCGGCGTCCCCTCCGCCACTGCCGAGCGCTCTGGGGCGCTGTCCCGTGTGACGCGGCGCTGTGTAAACACACGTTGTTGTGCGAGTTGTGCGTCTGTTTTTATGTGCCGCCGCGCGCACCAGGGGGCGCTGTTACCCTCAAACACAGGGACCGCGGTGGGTCTATTGGGGATCGCTTTCCGGGGGTAATAAACCCTCCCCCCAAAAAAAAAAATTATTCGGCCACTCAGTCCACGACACTGTGGGACGCTGATGTGCCCAATCGGCCGCCGCGTTTCGCCCGCGAAAAAATAACACAGTCACTACACGTTACGGAGTGAAGCGCTTTGAGACGACGTGATGAGGCGCTGCGTCAAAATGCCAGGATTGCTGTTGTTGTCGTCGTCGTCGCCGCCGGCACTCACCTGCTCTGCGACTCCACACGTGCGGACTGGTTCATGGCTCTCACCCATCCGCTCATGTCCTCCTGTGTGTCAGCGCTGAAGTGGTACGTTCTCATGCCGGGGTGCTCAGCCTGCGGGGGGGGGGGGGGGGGGGGGGGGGGGGCAAGGGGAGCGTGTTCAAACATCCCATCCCTCGCCAAGTCTCGCGCTCATCGCCCCCCCCGGCCCAGCCCGGCCCGTCGGCAGGACTCGGACAACCTGCGTGGGTTTGGCCGGTCAGGATCCTGCGGTTGCCCCCACCCCACACTCCGGGCTCCTCCCCAAAGCCTCGGCTCTTGCCAACCCGCGCCCGATACCGTCCGGGATCAGGTCAGCGGGATACACGCCCTCCAGGGACCGGGGGGGGGGGGAGAGGAGGGAGGAGGAGGGAGGGAGGGGAGGGAGGGGGGGGAGGGAGGGGGGGGAGGGAGGGAGGGGGCACATTCCATGCCAACAATTTATCTCTGAAAATTTCCATGTGTCGGTGGAATTCCCAGATTGGTTTGGAGGCTCTTAAGCAACAGTGATGGGTTTCCGTGTGTGTGTGTGTGTGTCAGACACCCGACCGACCAACAAAAAAAACACCTCCCAAGTGCACTCCCTCCCACCCATTCCCAATCCCGTTCCCGGAGGAGAGAACACTGCTCCCCCCCCCCAGGACACTCTGTACCTTGAAGGAAAACTTCCGGCTTTTCCGGTCCGCTGGATCAGCCGCTGAAATGTCGTAACTTGGCAACGGGATGCTTCCCAGGATGTTCTGTTCCCGGCTGTCTGCGGGGCGCGGGGGGAGAAGGCGGAGGAGAAAGGGGGTGGGAGGGGAGAGAGAGAGAGAGTGCGGAGGAGAGGGGAGGGGGTGGAAGCAGAATTGAGTCCACTGTTAAACGTGCGAGAGGGACACGCGTTCGATTCCCGAGCAGGTCAGGGAGAATCCTGAGGCGAATTACACACACACACACACACACACACACGCGCCTCCGTGTACAGAGCACTTAAGTCGGAACCCGGTAATTAGTTCGTTTGGAGGATGGCTTTTCCGGGGGCAACAACCCCTCTCATAAAGGAAATTGGATCCTTAATCCACGGCTGTTTGTGGGGACGGCGCTGTGCGAAATCGGCCGCCGCGTTTCGCACCGTAAAGATGCACAGTCGCCCCACGTCGCGGTGCGTCCCGTGAGACGTCTCGACGACGCGGTCAGGCGCCGGTATCGACCGGGAGGATTATTATGATGATCGAGAACCCTTTGCCTTCCGACTTGGGAACCGGTCGGCAGAAACCGGAGGTCGTTCGGCCCAACCCGGCGCGAAACCCGTGAATGTCCCTCCAGCCTCGGAAGTCGCCGCGCGTTAGTATCATTCGGTGTATATCACTGAGTGTGTGAGTTACCCCCAAACCCCCCACGCCACCCTCCCAGTAAGCGCTCCCCATTGCCCACCCCCCCACCCCGCAACCCACCCCACCCACACCCACACCCCTCCCTCCTGCCCCGACCTCTTGCTCGCTGTGTTACCTCTGTAATAGAAGAGACAGAAATCGGACAGGACAAACCATCTCCTCTTCCACAGCTTGAGCCCAGCACTGTCCTGCAACACAGACACACACACACACACGTACGCGCGCGCGCGGTGTGACACAGGGTAACAGGACATCACGCGCGCGCGCGCGCGCGGCCACACACTCGCTCCGTCTCTATCCGTATCAGTTTGTGCGCGGGTTGGGTGTGCGCGCGTGTGCGTGCGTGTCTCTCGCTCTGCGCGTGGTTGTGTGTCTTTCTCTCAGTCGGCGTGTGTGATTATGCGTGTGTGGCGTGAGTGTGTGTGTGTCTCTGTGTGCGCGTGTGCGGTGTGCGTGTGCCTCGCTCTCTGTTACACCTGTGGGCTGGTGGTACCTGTTTGAAGAGCCAGCCTCTGATCAGGACGGGGGAATTGGGGTCACGTTTAATGGACTGCTCCCTCTTGGCGAAGCTGTGAATTTTCCTCATCGCTCTGCTGGTCTGTGACGGGAGTTTTGCGAAAAAAAAAAAAGGATCAGATACGCAAACCCCGTCTCCCGTCCTCTGGTTCTGCTCACAAAATAACAGCCGAGTCAACTTCCCCGGCCCGTGTGCGTGTGTGTTGTGTGTGTGTTGTGTGTGTGTGCGCGTGTGTGTGTGTGTGTGACACATGCTCTGTCTGTCTTTCTGGGTGTGTGTGTGTGTGTGTGTGTGTGTATATGTGTCTCTGATTCTCTGTGTGTGTCTGTGTGTCTTTCTGTGCCTGTACATGTGTGTGTGTGTTTCTATTCTGTATGTGTATGTATGTGTGTGTGTATGTGTGTGTGTGTATGTGCGTGTGTGTGTGTGTGTGTGAGTCTGATGTCAGCCCAGAACCCACAAGGTGCTGCGTGTAAAGCGCGAGGGGTGGTGTCTCTGACCTGTGTGCCCAGTGAGGTGCTGATGGAGGAGATGGTGACCACGCTGGAGGCCTGGCTCAGGCCACTCCGCGATCTCTCGCTGAACTCCGACATGGGTGCAGCCTGGAGAAAAAAACACGGCGGTCACTCCGTCCGTCCGTCCGTCCGTCCGTCAGTGAGTGAGTGAGTGAGCGAGCGAGCGAGCGAGTCGGTCAGTCCCGATTCACGGCGACCCCACTCACACGGCTCCTCCCAGACTGGGGTGCAATCGGGTCAACAAGACCCGGGGGCAGAGAGACCAACAATACTTTGCTCCCCAACCCCCCCCCCACCACCCCCCACCAAACCCCCCCCTCCCCAGCCCAGCTCCGTGATTCCTATGACCTCCCAGTCCAGGCTGATGCTCCAATGCAACGCTGGGGAGAGAGAGAGAGAGAGAGAGAGAGAGGGTGAGAGAGAGAGAGAGAGAGAGAGAGCCATATTGTCGGAAGTGCTGTCCTTGAGACATAAGTGACTGTTTGGGTGGTTGTTTAAACAACAACAACAACAACAACAAGATTACATTTGTATAGCGCCTTTCGCGTTGGGAGGACGAGGTGCTGGGATGGGGCTATTGGGAAGAAAAGAGATTGGAATCGCTCTCTCTCCCCCTCTCCCCTTCTCTCCCTCTCCCCCCCCTCTCCCCCTCTCCCCACCCTCTCCCCTTCTCCCCCCCCTCTCCCCCTCTCCCCTTCTCCCCCCCTCCCTGGGTGTCTTGGCCGCCAATCCCTCCCCAGGTACACGGCCGCTCGCTCGCTTCCCTCCCTTCGCGTCTCCACGTGACTGTGAAGCGCTTCGAGATGGTCTGTATCCGACGCGAGGAGTATCTGGTCAGTGATTATGTCCGGGGAGTGGGGGGGCGGGCGGGCGGGGAGTGGGGAGGGTGGGGGGAGGGAGCATTAATTTCGGCAAACACACAGCACACCCGGCGGATAATCGGAGGGTGTGATCAGCGCCTGTGGGTAGTTCCTATGGCAACAGATGGTGACACTGAAACTCCGAACTGTGGAAAGAAATACACAGAGAGAGAGAGAGAAAAAACATTCCGTTCACTCCCACTGAGCGTGAGCCGGAGTGTAAAGCCATCTGTGTCCCGGTCACGGAAACTCCTCCACCAGGACACACAGGTTAGGGTTAGAGGGGGGCGAGGCGGGGGGTGGGGAGGGGAGGAGGGGGGGTGGGGGGGGGGGTCGGAGCTGATCTCATCCCGGAGTAAATCCCTCTCTTCCAGAAAGGGTAAACATCCTTTTCCGGAGAAATCTGATTATCCCACGCAGTGAATCTCCCGTTGGGAGTGATGGACATTCCCATGTGTTCGGGCCACGGGGGGAGGTGTAATCAGCCGAGGGAGAGACGGCAAGTCAACGCGGGGAGTCTGTGCAATGTGATCACTCCCCGTCACAGGGAGCGAGTGCGTGTGTGGGGGGGAGGGAGTCGGTGTGAGTGCGTGTGTGTCGGTGTGTGTCGGTGTGTGACGGTGTGTGACGGTGTGTGTCGGTGTGTGACGGTGTGTGTCGGTGTGTGACGGTGTGTGACGCTGTGTGTGTCAGTGTGTGTGTCTGTGGGTGAGTTATTCAGTGTGTGAATGTGTGTGAGAGTGTGTGTGTGTGTATGTGAGTGTGGTTATGAGAGTGAGGGCTGTGTGTGTGTATGAATGCGAGTATGTAAGTGCGTGTGTTTGAGTGTGTGTACACATAGGTGTCTGTTAGTGTATATCAGGGTGTGACGATGTGTGTCAGTGGGTGTGTCGGTGTGTGTGTCAGTCTGGGTGTGTCAGTCTGGGTGTGTCGGGGCATGTCAGTGTGTGTGTCAGTGTGTGTGTGTCAGTGTGTGTGTGGTGTGTGTCGGGACGTGTCAGTGTGTGTGTGTCGGTGTGAGCCAGTGTGTGTCAGGGTGTGTGTCAGTGTGTGTGTCAGTGTGTGTGTGGTGTGTGTCGGGACGTGTCAGTGTGTGTGTGTCGGTGTGAGCCAGTGTGTGTCAGGGTGTGTGTCAGGGTGTGTACCCCCCCCCTCCCCACTCCCAGTGGCTGACACTCCGGGCTGTGGGATGATGAGATGAACAGCTGGAGACGGCCGGCGGTTCCGCCTCTGCACGGAATTCGATCCACCTGTCAGCCCGGGATTTGGGATACGTTCCGGGGGCTCAACACTGGCCCAAGCCGTGGCGGGTTAACCCCTTCAGCTGAGTCGCTCGCCCTATGATCAGTGTTTGGGGGTGGGGGGGAGGGTGGAGAGATGTTGTTGGAGATATAAAGTGGTCACTCACCAACTGGGTGTTTCTGTGGAATCCAGATTGTGTATCCCATTGCTCCCACATCCTTTAGTGCCCTCACTTTCCACCTATCCTTCGCGTCCTCCCGACGTGAGAGGCGCTAAACGAAGGTAATACCGTATTGCTCGCGCACAGCAACATCTCACATAATAACAAACCCTCGCATTTTCACGTCTTCGAGACGTCTCAGAGTTCCGGTAAGTAGGAACCCGATCGTTGGTCGATTGGAGGATCACTTTCCAGGGGTAATGATAATAATCGCTCCCCCCAAAAAAAATTGGGTCAGTCACTCAACCCACTGTGTGTGGGACACTGCGATGTGCAATTGGCTGTCTTGTTTTGCTCACAAAATAGACAGTCACTCCACTTTACAGTGTTATCCTGCGAAGCTATTTGAGACGTCTCGACGATGTGATAAGGCTCTGTATCAAATTCAAGGATTATTATTATTATTATTATTATTATAATGTCTATTCGGTTTAGATTGAAACCCAGAACAGAGAAGGGAAAGGGTGAGTGAGTGAGTGAGTGAGTGAGTGAGCGAGCGAGCGATGGGGGGAGAGAGAGAGCGAGAAGGAGGTAAAGAGCGAGAGCTTTATCCCCTCTATTCGGAAGAGAATCGACCCCCAGAGGTGACAGAAAGTGCACTGACAATGTTGGCCACAGAGAAAGCGGTCAATGGAGCCTGACATCACCCGGTCGTGCCGAGGGTTTGGTTCAGTAAAGGACAAAACGAGTCAGTGAGGGGGTTGCTCGCCGGGGGGACATGGGTTGGCTTGTGTCTTCCCAAGGAGAGAAGAGCTTCTCTATGAGTCTCTCTACATCACAGGGAGCCTCTGTCTCGCTGCTTACTGACCGCTATTCACTATTCATTGCGAGCTTCATGCCATCTCACAATGAAAGACCAAATGGCCTACAGTATGGGGGTGGGGACAATTGGGGTGGGGGGGGGGGGGCGCTGGAGAGTGGGGCGGGGAGGGGGGTAGGTCTCCTCTCGTCCCCCATCCTCTTCCTCATCGACCACACCTTCGGTCACCCTCCCAACTCCCCTCCAGCCACCCCACCCCACCCCACCCGCACTCACTCCTGATCCCGACCCCCAGCTCGGGCGCAAATTCCTGACAGTTCAGCGCCTCGGGACACGAAAGGCATCGTGTAAACGTCATTTGGTGGCGATGGTGGTGGCGTTAGCTCTCCGTGTCCGCGTGTCGCTCTCTGTTAATATGTGTGTATGTGTTTGTATGTGTGTGGGACTGTGTGTGTGGCGGGGTATGTGTGTGTATGTGTGGGGGGGGGGTGGGGTGACGGTGGGGGAGACAAGTGCAGCTCCCGGTTTTACAGTAAATAAACAAGTGAATTAAGCAGCCGGATTTGACACCATTATAGAGGACAGAAATTGAGGGCGGGGGGGAGGGAGCAGAGAAATCAACGTGTCCGGGTGATATAATACTCCCCCACACTTCTCTCTCTCTCTGCCTCTGACCACCCCCCCGCCCCAATCTGTGTCTCTCTCCCCCCCCCCCACACTCAACCCCACATTCTCGTAAAAAAACAAGAGAAAAAGCACCTCTCGTTTACCTTCTCCAAATCTCTCTGCGTGTAATGTATCAGCCTCCCATCACCTGTCTCTCCTCCCAGTGTTCCTCGTCAACCACTGCCCCCTTCCCTCCCTCCTCCCCCCCACCCACCCCCAGCCCCGTTGATGTCTTCCCCCAGGGTGCTAGCGAGATGCCCCCACCCCCACACCCGGCGCTTCTGCCTTAGTCCTTTCCTCAAAGCTTAAATCGATCTGCAAAGCAGCTCCTGATATCAGTCGCCTACACACTCACTCTCACTGAGTCACTATTGCAGTCCTGGACACAGCTGCACAATTCACACACAGAGACCCATCGCGGGGAGAGAGGGGGGAGAGGGGGGAGAGGGGGTGGTGGAGAGTGGGGGGGGAAACTGCAGGGCAGACCCACACTCAAACACTAAAACACTAAATATAGAACGATCCTTACATTTTGTAATAATCACAATCCTCGCACGTGACCCGCGTTTCGAGACGTCTCAAAGCGCTTCGCAGGATACGCTGTAAAAGTGGAGTGACTGTGGATTTTGTGGGCGAAACCCGGCAGCCAATTGCGCCCAGCGACGTCCCCACAGCCGGTCATGGAGTGAACGACCAATTTTGCTTTCGGGGTGGGGAGAGGGTCCCTACGCCAATCGACTAACAAGCGGGTCCCTACTTACTGCGAACAGAGGCGTGTGTGAGTGTGAGTGCGAGTGTGAGTGCGAGTGTGAGTGTGGGGGAGTAAGGAAACGTGCCTAAGGTGTTGCCCCGTCTGGGAATCAAACCCTGGTCGTCTCGCTGGTGAGGCCAGCGCTCTGACCCCTGAGCTGCCGGGATCCACGTCAAAGCCCCAGAGCAGTGATAAGAAAAAGTCTCGCACCTGATACAGAGAATGGTCACGTCTTACAGACCGGTAGCGACTTGAGCCGGGCTGACACCCAAAGGACCGTTCACCCCCAAACGCGTCTGGATGTTGTTCCCCGAGGAAGGGAGGGGGGGGTGGAGAGGGAAGAGAAGGAGGGGCACGGTTGGGTGGGGTGGTGGGGGGGGGGGGGAAACAAGTGAAACCTCTCCCCTTGGATCAGCCCTCAGGCAGTCACGCATAATGTGGGTCAGACCAGCGCTGCTATCGACAGTCCCTATTGCTCGCCGTTTGTTGCGGGGGAGGGTGGAATGTGATGGAATGTGCGTGGGTGTGGGGTGGGTGGGGGGGGGGGCACGGGATTCATTAAAATAAAATGCCACTAATATTCCGCTTGCCCTCTCCCACCGGCCCCTCGCCCCCTCGCCCTGCCCTGACTCGCTCACTGGTACACAAAGAGAGAGAGAGAGAGAGGGAATGTGACATTGCTTCTGGCTAATGTGTGAGGTCCTCCCAAGGCCGGTCACACAAAGCACTCACGGTCCAGGCTGTGCACAGTCACTACACTTTACAGTGCAAAAAAAAAAGACAGTCGCCCACACACTCGCTCTCACTGAGTCGCTATTGCAGTCCTGGGGCGCAGCTAATACAATTCACACACAGATCCACACTCAAACACTAAATATATAACAGCCGTCACATTTTATTATAATAATAATAATAATAATAATAATAATAATAATAATAATAATAATAATAATCCTTGCATTTGACACACATATTTATCAATCAACCGTTGACGATTGGGTTAAACGCTTCCTCTCCGGCTCCTCTCCTCTCCCGGTTGAGATCGCTCACCCCCGTAGTGTAAGTGGTTAAAGCGCTCGCCTCGCAAGCCTGAGGACCCGGGTACGATTTCCGGGCAAGTTTCCCACCCACCCACCCATACCCACCTACCAACACCCACCCACACCCACCCACACCCCCCACACGCGCGGGCGCCTCTGTTTACCCGGCAGTAAGTAGGAACCCGGTTGTTACTCGGCCGGCGGGTGGCTTTTCCGGGGGTAATAATCCTTCCAACCCAAAATTTGGCGACTGAATCCAGCGGCTGTTTGCTGTGCGGACGCTGCCGACTGCGTTTCGCCCACTCGAAAAAAAATAAAAAAACACCCGAAGTCAATTTCACTCGGACACTATGTCCTTTGGAGCGCTTTGAGACGTCTCGAAGGTGTGATAGAGTGCAAGGATTATTATTAACCGCGAGTGTCTCAGCTTTACCCTGTGTGGGTGTGTGGGTGGGTGGGTGGGGCGGGCGGGTGGGTGGGTGGGGGGTGTACTTCACAATCCAGCCACCAGGGGAGTCATTGCACCTGACTGAGCCCACGGCAGGTGGTTGATCCGGGCTGGAAAGCGTTAAAACTGCCCTGGATTTAGCTCCCGAAGCTCCGAAACATCCTAACTATCCAGCGCTCTCTCTCCCTCCCTCTCTCCCTCCCTCTCTCTCTCTCTCTCCTCTCTCTCTCTCTCTCTCTCTCTCCTGCAACTCTGTTTCTGCTGCACCCAAAGCCCTCTCCAAATTTCCAATTAAACCAATCGCTCCGTGGCTTCCCATCCTAAGCACCGACCGCAATTGACGGTAGGAAGGGTTACCATGGTGACTGTCTCCGTGTTGCTATTCCGAACCTCATCCGCCCCCTCTCCTCCGCCCTCCACCACCCTCCCCCCCCCCACCCCCACCACCAGCCCCCACGCACACACGCGCATATACACACACACACACCACACACACACCACACACAGGCAAACAAGAGCAACTAATTCAGGATCCCACCTCCACGCTCTGTGTGCAGTTATAATAAAAATCCTTGCATTGGGTGGAGCGCCGGATCACGTGGTTGGGAGGTCTCAAAGTGCGTCCTGGGTTACGTAAAGTGGAGTGACCGTGTATTTCGCGGGCGAAACGCGGCAGCCATTTGCGTACAGCGGTGTCCGGCAAACAGCCGCGGATTGAGTTCCTCTGACTTGCCTAAGGTTTCTCCACGAGTCGAACTCGGGGGTCCCCTCGCTCTGAACACCGCACCGCGGGACTCCACAGCTTAAGTTGGACCCTTTTCCCGCGTGACAGTCACTACGCTCCAAAGTAACTCCGACATACAAAACGCAATACAAAACGCCATTCGCGTCGCGCGCCTTTCACGTCGGGAGGACGTCCCGAGGAGCTGGACGCACAGGGACGGACAGACGGGACCTGGTTTAACGTCTCAACTCTACCTTCAGAGAGAGAGAGAGAGAGAGAGAGCGAGAGGGGGGAAACTTAACAAATAGAGGAAAGAACAAGAGAGTCAGTGGAGAAAGAGGAAAGCAACGGAGGTAGTGGAGGAATAAGAGCGAGAAGGAAGGAAGGAAGAAAGAAGGTGGAAATAGAGAGATAGAAGGACAGTTTTAAAACGGTTAATATCCTCAGTCCTGTGGAGAGAGTCAAGTGTGAGTTACAGAGAGAGAGAGAGAGAAATACAACTCAACACTCACTCACCTTCTGGGAGCTCAGCATTGATGTTGCTCTCTGCCTATGTCCTACCAGCGACAGCCCGACAGTGCCTCTCTCTCTCTCTCTCTCTCTCTCTCAGTGAAGCAGCTTGCGAAGGGCTCTCGCTCTCGCGCTCTCCACGTCTCGGCTAAAAATACTGAGCTCCACACCCACCTCCCTCCCCATGACCTCAATGCCTGCCTCTTTCCCCAGCCCCAGCCGTCCCGTTCCTTCCACGCGAGCAGCTGTCTGGTGCAGGAGTCCGTCCCTATTGTTCTACTTCATCGCAGCGTCCACTTATTTGTTAACTCTCCTGTTTTTTTGGAACCGCCGCCCACCTTCCTCGCTAATTACTGCCCCGCTCTTGCCCGCGTTGGGGGTCATCCCTCGTCCCCCTCCCTCCGCTCCACCATCGGTGGCCGGGCCTTCAGCCCCCAACTCCCCGAAACTCCGGAACTCTTTCCCTCGATCCCTCCACCTTACCCACTCCCTCCCTCCCTCCCTCCGCACGTACAAATCCTGCCTAAAGACCTTCCTGTTTAATCGTGCTGACGGTCACCTCCACCCCCAGCTCCGTCTGCCACCCCCACCCCCCCGAAACACATACACGGACACACGTTCACACGGACACACACGCGAATAACACGCACACACACACGTATACAAACACACACACACACAGCGACTCTGAACTCACACTCCAGCCCAGTGCTGGGGAGAGCTATTGCGTTGTCAGAGATGTTGTCCTTGGGGAGAGGGGTTGGAACGAAGCTCCCGTCGTCCGTTAGGGGGGGGGGTGGTGTCAGAGGGGTTGGAACAAAGCTCCTGTTGTCCGTTGGGTGGGGCGGGGGGTGTTAGTGCCCGAGCCCTCGAGGGGAGGGGGTAATCGCTGTGACTAACCTCTTCCCTCTGACATTTCCTACCGAGGGGATTGGCTTGGCTTCACTGGCTTGACATGACCCAACAACCTGCTTTGCCGGTCCGGGCCGGGGGGGGGGCGGAGGAGAGCTGCGATCGATGGCTAACTTTCTCCTTGGGGTTGGGGAGAGAGGGAAGAGGGTGGGCTCACAGGAGAGCGACCCCTTCTCTCCCCTCTCCTGGTCTGGGATCTTCCGGGATTTGGGAATGGGTTCGGGGAGGAAACAAACGACAGCCTCAGGAACCACTGCCTTGTGGCTCCCACTGGACCTGACGTAACTCAATGTGTTTCCTGGTCAAACCAGACCCTCCGCACCAGCCGAGCGGACAACGAAACACAATGGAGCATTCCCGTCGCCTTTTAAAGGGGAAGTCCACCTTTTCCCGCTGGGAAAAGCCTCGGCTTTAATCCTCGCCTTGTTTTGATACAGCGCCCCTGTCACTCTAAGACTGCGGCGATGCCCGTAGCTCCGTGGTCAGAGCGCTCGGGATTCCTGGGCGGGTCGGGGCGAAATCGTAGGCGAGTTTCCTTACCACACACACACGCGCACACGCACACGCCTCAGTTTACCTAATGTTAAGTAGGAACTCGGTTGTAAGTCGACTGGCGGATGAATTACTTTCTGGGGGTCAGAATAAATAAATAGGTGACTCAATCCACGGCCGTTTGTGGGGACGTGTCTCTGTGTGCAATCGGCTGCCGCGTTTCGCCCACGAAACATACACTTCACAGTGTATCCTGTGCGGCGCTTTGAGACGTCTCGAAGACGTGATCAGGTGCTGTGTTCAAATGCCGGGATTATTATTATCACGTCATTGCGCTTCACGGGAACAAGGCCCCCCCCACCAAAGTCTTGTAATCTTGAGGCGTCAAACCAAGTTCCCTGTCTGTGCCCCGTTCAGGCGGACCTTAAGGGCTTTAAATCATCCGGCAATTTTGGGAAAAGAGGAATGCCTCTCGAGAATCTCTTCTGGCCACAGTGCTATATAAAGCAAGCTCTATCTTTGCATTTGCCCTATAAAAACATACAGTTACTACATGTGCATCCTGGGAAGCACTTTTTTTGAGATGACGGGGAAGGTGCTGTATCTAACGCAAGGAATTATTCTTAATTATCCCCCACACACATCCTCAGAGACACACTCGCTGAAACACACAATCGCCCACACACTCTCACGTACACGCACTCACACACGCACACTCGAACATGCGCACAATCACTCCCACACTGACCCGCCACTCTCGCACACGCACTCACACGCTGACATACTCGCGCACACGTACACACTGACTAGAACACACAATCACACGTGTAAATGCGCACTCACTCACTCGCTGACACACACACACACACACACTCCCATCACAGACAATTCCTCCCTCCCTTCACCCACTCCCCCTCCTCCTCCCCCCCACCCCCCACCCCCGTACAAACAGCCCCGTGTTACATTCCGCAGCTAATTCCCGTGTCCGAGCTCAGGCATGAATCCCGGGATCCTGGGCATTCCCCTGGCTCCCTTGCGGCCAAATGGAGCAAATTCCAGTTATCCGTGTCCAATATTCGTGGGATTCCAGTTGAGGTTCGAGTTCCCAGCGGAATGTGATCATCCCGGATTCCTGGCATTCCCAGGCAATCTGCGACGATCCGCTTCGGCGACCCAGGCTACTCTGTCCAACTCACTCCTCGAGAAGAGAAGGAGTTTTTCATCTCTGTCTCTCTCTGTCTCCTAATACCGCGGCTGACAACTCCCCCCCCCCACCCACCCCCACCCCCGACCCCCGACCCAACCCCAGATAAAATCGCTCAGGTACGTCACTGGGCGCAATTTGGCCGCCATGTTTGCCCATACAGTCACTACACATCACTGTTAAATGTAGCGTGTAGTGTGTATTCATAAGGCAATCCGGCAGCTGATTTGCACACAACAATATATTCCCCCCCTCACCCCCCACCCCCCCCCCCCCCCCCCCCCCCACACACACACACACTAGTACCTAACCAGTGACAGGGATATTGTACCAATACAAGTGAGTGCTCCCTCTGCTCAGTGGGCTCCACACTCCTCCTCTTCGACCACACCTTCGGTCACCCTTCTTACCCCTACCCTGCCCCCTCCTGATCCCAACCCCCAGCTCGGGTCCAAACCCTCGAGTGTCCAGCGCCTGGGGACGTCCTCCCAACATGAAAGGCGCCGTGTGAATGCAATGTGTTGGTTGTTGAGGATAATCCAACAACAACGACGACGACAAGAGCTTTCATTCACGTGGGGTAGTGACTCCGAGTGCTCCAGTCCCATCCCAAACCGTGGGGTTGGGGGGGTGGTGGGGGTGGTGGGGGGAGGGGGTTGCGAGGGTGAGACGGGGACAGAATGGGAAGGAAGGGGTGGGCGGTGTGCGCCTGTGTGTGTGTGTGTACCAACCCCAATTCCAACCCCTGGGGGAGGTGCAACATCCAAAGAAGAGAGACGAAGGGGGCGCACATGGTTTCTGGTTGTGAATTGGTTAAACGTCAATGCGAGACCCAGGCAGCGGACCCTTGTGAACCCCCCCCCACCCCCTCCCGCTCAGCCCCCAGGGCCTGGCTCTATATTTATCGGCGGGGGGACAGGTGGCCAGGCCGTTGCCTTGTTTCGTGGGCTCCATTGTTTGGCCGTTGGGCTTTGTGCCAGAGTTTAGAGGCTTTCAAGGTCAAAGTGGTTTGGGTTTTTTTTTCCCTCTTCCTGAGTGGGTCTGGTCTCCGCAAATAATAGTTGTGCGTTCTCACGTCAAAAAATCTCCCATAAACCCTCCAACAGTTCCCTCTTCCCCGGTTCTATCGGCTGTCGGTTCAAATCCCCCCCCAATCCCCCAACCCCAACCCCCTCCCAACCCCACTTCAGGGGCTTTGACCTCGCAGTCCAGGCTGATGCCTCCAGCCACATTGAGTTATTATTATAATAATAACCCCTGCGTTTGACACAGCCCCTCATCACGTCGTCGAGCCGTCTCAAAGCCCTTCTCGGCGTACACTGCAAAGTGTAGTGACTGTGTGGGCAGCCAATTGCGCGCAGCAGCGTCCCCACAAGCAGTCGTGGATTGAGTGACCCAATTTTTTTTTTTACGAGGTATTATTACCTCCTGGAATGCGATCCGCCAATCGACTAACGACCGGATTCCTACTCACGACTGAGTAAACAGAGACGTGTGTGTGTGTGTGTGTGTGTGTAGTAAGGAAACTTGCCAAAGGTTTCACCTGTTCCACCCGGGAATCGAACCCGGGTTCCTCTTGGGAGACCACTGTGCTGCAGCGCGACATGATATTGAGGACCCGGCCCCCTGCGTTCACCTGTGTAGGACGCACACGGTCACTACGCTTAACAGTGAAACCCTAACGAAGCGCTTTTGGGAGAGCTTTGGCGATGCAGTTGCCCGTTATCGAACGCTTAGCGCTAACATTACCGCTGATACGTTTTGTGGCTGCGTATTCCCGACCGCAAATACGCTGGAAAGAAGAGAAGTCGAGCTGCAGACGACTTTTTCTCCTCGTTTCCCATCGTCTCAAAGCCTTTCCCCCCCACAACAACCCCCCCACCCCCACCCCCACCCCCACCCCGTCTCTTACAATTTGCCCCAATTTTCCCATCTGAAGGTGATGACACCGAGACTTCAAGGGCCTTTGTTCCTTACAAAAAAGCCTAAACACTTGGCTGATGGCCTGTGGGGTGGGAGGGGAGAGAGAGTCACCCATCGCAGTCACTCTTGACCCTGCCCTCCCCCACACCCTACAGATACCCACCTTCCAGAGCTGAATGTCAAATCTCGGTCCATTCTCTCGGCCTCTCTCTCTGTCTCTGTCTCTCTCTCTGTCTGTCTGTCTGTCTGTCTGTCTGTCTCTCTGTCGCTTGTCGAGATGTTCGATGGCTTTGTGGTGTTGCAGAGACAGCTTCTGGCTGCTTCCTGTATTGCTCCACGCTTTCCAAATGCTCATAATGTAATAATAGTCCTCGTGTCCGATATACAGCGCCCCGTCACGTCATCGAGACGTCTCGAAGCGCTTCACGGGATATAATAATAATAATAATAATAATAATAATAGTAACACACTGAGACGTGAATTGACTGTACCTTTTGGCAGCAGACAATTGCGTACAGCCGTGTCCCGCAAACGGTTTTGTATCGAGTGATCAAATTATTATTAATAGTATTTTTGGGGTGGGGGTCGGGGGGGGGGGGGGGGAGGGATTATTACCCCCGACTAACATCCTACTTACTGCCGAGTAAACAGAGGCGCGTGTGTGTGTGTGTGTGTGTGTGTGTGGAGTAAGGCAACTCGCCTAAGGTTTCGCCCCCAACCTGCCCGCGAATTGACCACCTGCGTCCCTCTCGCTGGCGAAGGCGAGTGCCCTCACCGCTACGCCAAACTGTACCGTGCGGGGTTAAACGAACGAAGGGGGGGGAGGGGGGCGACGGATGTTGGGGCCAGATCTGAAAGAGAAAGAATTCCCTTTACCTTACGTTTAAAACTGAAAGTAACTGAAAGAAAGCAGATAACCAGTTTCGCTTTCTGATCCGATGCCCCTTTTCGATCGGTCGCTGTCGAAAGGGAAGAGAAACCGCTCCGACAAAAATACACAGTCACCGCACTGCGCGGGGAACCCCAGTGAAGCACTTTGAGATGTCCTCCCAATGTGCTACGGCGCCATTTCAAACCCCCGTATACAATAATAATAATATAATAACATAATAATAACCCTTGAATGCGACGCAGCGCCTTTTCACGGTCTTTGAGACGGCTCAAAGCGCTTCGCAGGTCGACTGCAATTTGGGGGCCAATTCCGGGCGCAATCCGTTGTTATTTTTAATTTTTTTTGGGGGTGGGGGTGGGGGTGGGGGGGGAAATATTTTTCCTCGGAGGAGGTTATTAGCCCCGAAAGGCGATTCCCCCCCCACACCCCCCACACCCGATCGCGATCAACAGGAGCGCTCAGCGAGGAAACCTTCGCCCTGAGGTCTCGCCCTGACCCAAAGGGAAGGCGGTTTCGGACCGGTTGGAGCTGACCATGACACACGCACACACATGACACACACACACACACGCACACATGACACACACACACACACACAGACGCTGAGAGAGACACGTAGTACATGAAGAGAGAGAGAGGGATTACGTCAGTGAGTGTGTAAATGGACAGGAAATATGACCTCTGTCCACATATATGGGTTTATTCCCCTCCCATTGCCTTATGTGGACACATTGCAAACCAATGGGAAGGAAAATCCCAACGAAGTGACTGTAATCCCCAGAGATCCGAAACCAACACAATATCCCCTCCCACAGCGCTCCTTATAACAGCCACAGACACAGCCACAGCCAACACTCAGCCACAGACACAGACACACAGACACACAGAGAGAGAGACAGAGACACAGACACAGCCACAGCCAACACTCAGCCACAGACACAGACATAGAGAGAGACAGAGAGAGAGAGAGAGAGAGACACAGCCACAGCCAACACTCAGCCACAGACACAGACACAGCCAACACTCAGCCACAGACACAGACATAGAGAGAGACAGAGAGAGAGACAGAGACACAGCCACAGCCAACACTCAGCCACAGACACAGACATAGAGAGAGACAGAGAGAGAGAGAGAGAGAGAGAGACACAGCCAACACTCAGCCACAGCCAACACTCAGCCACAGCCACAGACACACAGACACAGACACACAGACACAGACATAGAGAGAGACAGAGAGAGAGACACAGCCAACACTCAGCCACAGACACAGACACACAGACACAGACATAGAGAGAGACAGAGAGAGAGAGAGAGACACAGCCAACACTCAGCCACAGCCACAGACACACAGAGAGAGAGACAGAGACACAGACACAGCCAGCACTCAGCCACACACACAGACACACAGAGAGACAGAGAGAGAGAGAGAGAGAGACACAGCCAACACTCAGCCACAGCCACAGACACTCAGCCACAGCCACAGACACAGCCAACACTCAGACACAGACACACAGACACAGACACAGAGACAGACATAGAGAGAGACAGAGAGAGAGAGAGAGACACAGCCACAGCCAACACTCAGCCACAGACACAGAGAGACACAGACACAGAGAGACACAGAGAGAGAGACACAGCCACAGCGTCAGTCAACACTCAGCCACACACACAGACATAGAGAGAGACACAGACACAGAGAGAGACAGAGACACAGCCACAGCCCAGAGGGTCACTCAACACTCAGCCACACACACAGACACAGACACAGAGAGAGACAGAGACAGAGAGAGAGAGACAGAGAGACACAGCCACACACACACAGACAGAGACACAGAGAAAGACAGAGAGACACAGACAGAGAGACAGAGACACACAGTGAGAGACACAGAGAGAGAGACACAGACACACAGACACAGCCACAGACACAGACACAGACACAGACACAGACACAGCCTAACCCTCGGCTCTCAGTTTGACCGATCGCTGATGTACCGATGGCTTTTGCTGAACGAGTCCCGATGTCCACTGTCACCGACACAGAGAGAAGAGACCACAATCATCATTTGGGGTTTCAAAGAGGACGTGAACCCCAAAACCGACTCCAAACTCCCGGAGACCATCGGAGAGAGAGAGGGTGAGAGACAACAACAACAACTACCACAACAATAATAACAATGTGTATTTAAAGCACCGAATCCAGAGAGGGGGTGTGGGGGGGGAGGGGGGGGGATGGGGGGTGGGGGGGGGGGTGAGGGGGGGGGGGGGAGGGGGGATGGGGGGGGGGGGTGGGGGGGGGTGGGGGGGTGAGGGGGGGATGGGGGAGGGGGGGAAGTGGGGGATTTAATTGATTGGAAAGAATTGATCGATTGATTGATTGGTGTTTATCAGTTCACAACTCACTCTCATGGCCTCTGCTCTGTGTGTGTGTTCTGTGTCTGTGTCTATGTATATGTCTGTCTGTCTGTCTGTGTGTGTGTGTGTGTCTGTCTGTGTGTGTATGTCTATCTGTGTGTCTGTCTGTGTGTGTGTGTGTGTCTGTCTATCTGTGTGTCTGTGTGTGTATGTCTGTCTATGTGTGTGTCTGTCTGTGTGTGTGTGTCTGTGTGTGTGTATCTGTCTATCTGTGTGTCTGTGTGTGTGTGTCTGTCTATCTGTCTGTGTGTGTGTGTGTGTCTGTCTGTCTGTGTGTGTGTGTCTGTCTGTCTGTGTGTGTGTATGTCTGTGTGTGTCTATCTATCTGTGTCTGTCTGTGTGTGTGTGTCTGTCTGTGTCTGTCTGTGTGTGTGTCTGTGTGTGTGTGTGTCTGTGTGTGTGTGTCTGTCTGTGTGTGTGTGTGTGGGGTCAAACATTCTCTTAATTTCCTCTAAATCGCCTTATAATGTATTTAAAAAAAGGGGTTAAAATGCTCATTTGCGGTGAATAAATGTGGCTGTAAGTTTCTTGTCAGTGTGTGGTTTACAGGGGGAGAGTCGGTGTCTCCCCCCTGCAGTCACGGTATAAGGAGCGATGCCATACTGCGTTTTAAGGAGTAAAACAATGTTAACGAACAATGTTTCGTTAATAATGTGTAGTTACAGAATAATGGAACGATATTATATCACTGTGTTTACTCAGCAGTAAGTTAGACCCCCAGTTGTCAGTTGATTGGCGGTTCGCTTTCCGGGGGTATATAATCTCTCTCCTCCTCCCCCCATAATAATAATAATAATAATAATAAATTGGTCACTCAGTCCACGGCTGTTTGTGGGGACGCCGCTGTGCGCAGTCGGCTGCCGCGTTTCGCCCACAAAATACACAGTCAATTCACTTTACAGTGTATCCCGTGAAGCGCTTTGAGACGCCTCGAAGACGCGATCATTATCGCTCAGGAAAACACTGCACCCAAGGGACGAAGTACACTCAGCGTGTAGTGACTTGTATTTGGTGACGCCCGTCTCCCTGGGAACGGGAGACACCTCACAGGGGGCTTTGTGATCAGCCGCTGAGCGACTGGCTTGGGGTCTGCGATACCCACAGGCGGGAGAATGAGGCTGAAACCACAGCGAGAACCAGCGAAAGTCCGGTCTCTCCTCTCCTCTCCTCACCCACATCCCAGCCCTGTCCTCCTGCCTCGGCCGTTCCCCTTCCAGCCTTCGGCTGCACGTGATCCGGTGTGTGTGTGTGTGTGTGTGTTTCTGTGACAACAACAGCTGATGTAATGTGCCAAACTAACTCACTGAGTCCTGTCAGTGACTCACATTGTGGCTCTCATCCCATTGTGGAGTCTTCCCACAGCGCAGAGGGTTAGAGGGTACCCCCCCCCCCACCTCCCCCCTCGCGAGCAAGAGGTTCAATTCCTGGGCAGGTCAGGGCGAGACCCCGACCCCGGCAGCGAGCAGGAACCCGGCTGCCTGTCGACGGGCGGATGACGCTCCCCGGCCTGGAGCGCGACTGACTTTTTTTTTAAAAAAAGAAATAATAATTTGGTCACTGAATCGCCGACTGTTTGTGGGGACGCGGCTGTGAGTCTCGCCCCCCACACCCCCCCCCCCCCCACCCCAAGTTGCACAGTCGCTCCACTTTCGCAGCGTATCCCGTGAAGCCCTTTGCGGCGTCTCGACAACGACGGGATGAGGGGCCGTATCGAATACCAGGAGTATTGTTATTAATTGTTAATAATATCTCGTTTCCCTCATTTGCGCAGAGAAATAAATCCGCTGACTGAGACGCCAACAGGTGAAGATTACAATGAATGACCGTCTTATATTCGGAGCTTGTGACAGACTGAAGAGCCCCAGAATGAAGGTCCATCTATCCTGGATCCCCCACTTGGCCGCCGGCTTGATGACGGGCTGCTTGCTTATGGGACAGACCCTGTTCTCCACCGGGAGGCGGTGTGTGGAACAGCTGATGTCTGCCCTGGTCCATGTGGTGACAGCAACCGGGATGCCATTCAGGCTCCTGTGGATTGGGAGCAAGAGCGTTTGGAAGAGCCAACTAGTAGAAGATTCGGAGAAGAAGGAAAGCAGCCCCAGCTTCAACCAGGGACCCCCAAAGACCCTCGGCATGTCAGCGGACGTCAAGATGGAGGCGCCCCAAGGGCCTAAACCCTGCCCTATCCAGTGAGGAAGTTTGGGCTTCGAACCATAAAGCCACAGAAATTTGGAGTTACCATTCTTCTTCAGATAAACAGACCCTAATCCTACACACACACCCCCCACCTAATCCCGTGCTCTCTTCCCCTTCTCTCCCTCTAATACAGTCCTTCCCATGTGGGCATGTGACGTGTCTGTGCTTTTGTTCCTTGTTTTTTCGCCCTTTTTGCTTGCTTTTAATGATAATGGCTTTATGGTTCAAAGACTCTTGTTTTCATACTCTCCAAAGGGTTTACTGCTCAGCTCCCTAGTGGGCTACACCTCCTTGCGGGGAGGGAATGGTAATGCCTTATTCGCGGTAGTTTGGTTCCTGAGCCACACGGGACCACAGTACTCTAGAGCACTGCTGCTGACAGCGCCGCAAAGCCTGGCTCATCGGCCAGACCTGGACGGGCAGACCAGTCACTCAGCTCCCGTTAGCCCTGCAAACCAAAGCCCAGCGTGGTCCCAGCTGGACAAGCAGAGAGTGCTCGCAACGGTAAACTATGTGGGTTTAGCTGGTTAGACTCCAGCAGTTACCCCCCCAAACGCACGCTCTGGGCTTCCCCCAAGCCTTGGCTCTTGCCAAGCTGCGCCTAATCCTCTCCGGCTGGTAATGCTTTACTGTTGGCTTCTTTCAGCCCAACACAAACCTCTTTGAGGAATGTTGGAAGGAGAAAATCCGGCAGTTCAATGATGAGGAAGGTTCCGATGAGGAGGACGTGTGGCAGGAGAAGGAGCTTCGCTTTGCCACTAACGCCCCTCGCACGCCCAGGTCAGTGTGTATGCGCCTGTGTGTGCGCGAGGGATGGTGTCTCGTTACACAGCATTGATACCAATCATTCACAGAAAGCAATTAAGTTATTGTTTCACCACAAGGTTAAGACAGTGACCCTCCTGGAGCTCTTTCATATGAAATCTCGTGACACCTCGAATAGGAACTTTTTTTTCCACTGCGTGGCGAACAAGGATATTGTTTTAGTCTCTCCGTCCTGCCTTACCCTTCAATCCCCCTCTCTCTCTCTCTCTCTCTCGTCTGATTTACTTCCCTCTTGAAAGCTACAATGGTCTCAATCTCCACCACCTTACTTTGGCAGAGGATTCCACACCCCCACCTGCTCTCTGGGTGAAAACATTCCCCCTGAACTCTCCTCGTCTCCCTTGGAGACCTACTTAGTCTGTAGTTTCACAGGACCTCCCCACGTGCCTATGCCTTAAGTCTTGAAAGTGAGCGCAGCTGAGTTATGGGGGAGGAGAGTGGAGAAGGGGGTGGGATCTTCACAGGAGGCACTGATACTATCTGATCTGAAAGACCTTCCTCTTCGACTCTTACGGTCACTGTCGAGCACTCCGGGACAGAGGAGCTGTGTAAATACCAAGCTGTAGTTGTTGTTGACCTGTCTGAGGCTCTCGGTGTGGGTCTCACTGCTCTGATCTCAGTGTGTGTGTGTTTGCGTGTGACGTGTTGCAGGAGTTCTGGGAGCACGGACAGTGAGGGGAGCAGGGACTCGGAGGAGGAGGAAGAAGAGGAGGGAACATTGAGGCCTGTTAAGCCCAGCGATGACAAGGTGGAGATGGAGCTGAATAAAGGTGAGTGCTCTGCCCTCCACCTCCCCCCCCAGCCCCACAGCCCCCCGCCTCCATCTCCTGACCCCAACCCCCAGCTCAGGCGCGAATCCCCGACTGTCCAGCGCCTTGGGACATCCTCCTGACGTGTGAATGTCATCTGTCGTTGTTGTTGAAGTGAGGCAAATGGTCTGCAGTCAGACACGGCAACTCACCGACAGCGAAGCAGCCGGGATGAGGTTGGAGCCCGGATAAACACTCCCTGCTCTCTTCCAAATAGCGTCTTATTAACGGGCTGACTCTGTGCTTCGGGGAAGGATTAATTGTGGGCACTTCCTGCGCTCCCTGTTGCCTACGCGTGAATGTATCTCTCGCTCGCAAACGCTTTGTCTCGTCTTCTGTCTCCCCCCGTTCCCCCCGCCCAGAAACCGGCTGGACTGCCAACTTTGACAGCGTCCCAGCGTCGAAGGCAGCGAGTGGCCAGAGCGTGTCTGACGCTGGGCTGAGCGTGTGGGACAGCACGGATCCCCCCACCTCACCCCCGCCCATGGAGGGGTGGGCCGTGTTCGCCAGCTTTGCCTCCCAGGCCGGGTAAGCGAGAGGGTTCTGGTCCTGGTGCCTGCACCCGGGGCAGAGAAGTTGTTGTTCAATCCGTGTGACCGCAGAAGCTCAGTTTTAACCGGCACGAGTATTACACACACGTCCTTCCCACACACTTCCCTTCGCACCTTGACTCCTTCCCTATCTGTACGCAATTGGCCGCAAAATGCGCCGTCAATTCGCTTTACAGTGCATATCCTGTGCAGCGCTCGCACTTGGGAGACGTCTCGACGACGTGACAAGGCACCGTAGCAAATGCAGTGATTATAGTCTATGGTATATTACTGTTACTAACGCACGTTGTTTGCTGCAGCCCCTCTGGTCGCTTGCGCACAAACTCTCCGGTGTCCATGGAAACCAATTCCCCGTTGGAGGATGAACTACAGAGCAGCGGTGATGCACACAGCAAGCCAGCAGCGCAGGAAGGTGAGCGTGACCTCCCACACGCCTTGAACACCCATGAACACGCCTCGCGCTGTAAGACCTGTGATGTCTGGGTGAAGCGTCCGTCCAGTTTGAGATCAAAAAGGGCCAACTTCATAGCTGTGTTGTGATCTTAATGTCTCCGGCCCTCACTGATCTCCACTCCCACCATCAACGGCTGCGCTTTCAGCCACTGATCCCCGAAGCTTTGGAACTCCCTTCCCCAATCTCTCCGCTTCGCCCCCCACCACCTCCTCCTTCCCTCTTTTAGATCACAACTGAAGACCTTCCTCTTTGACCGTGCTAACGGCTTGGCTTCGGGCTCCGCCACCGTTGAGCATTTCAAAACGCTGTGTAAATACAAGTCGTTGGTGGAGCCAATGCCTCCAAAGTGGAGTCCTGTAGCTCAGTAGTTAGAGCAAGCGAGAGACCCTGGGTTCGATTCCCGGTGGGAACAGGTGAAACCTTTGGCAAGTTTCCTTACTACACACAACACGACCTCTGTTTACTCAGTAAGTAGGAACTGGTCGTTAGTCGATTGGCGGATCGCTTTTCCAGGAGGTAATAATCCTCGTAAAAAATAATAAAATAAATTGGTCACTCAATCCAGACTGTTTGTGGGGACTGCTGCTGCGCGCCCACAATGATACACAGTCAATTCCTTTGACAGTGTAGTCCGTGAAGCGCTTTGAGACGCTCGAAGACGTGATAGAGCGCGTTCAAACAGAGGGTTATTATTATTAAGTTCCTCTCTCCTGTGTGTAGGCTGTCCGGGGACCTTGGGTACGTTGACCAACCAACAGCAGGGTGACAAGAAGGCAGCGAGTGCCAACTCCGTGGGTAGCCACCTCACACGGGCAAAGACCAGGCCATCGTGGGGACAGCAGGGGGCAGCTCAGTGCTCAACGGCTCCCCCCCAGAGCCTGCCCTCTCCTCCTCCTCCCCCGACAAACGTCCTGACACAAAAACATGCACAAAGTAGGTACTTTTAATAGCTCTTGGCAGTTGGGGGGGAGGGAGATGGCGGGCGTGCGTGGGGAGGGTGCGGAGGAAAAAGGAGTGTTACAGGGGAGTGAGGGCATTCGTATCTCACACAACTGGATTCACCTGCAGTGACCGTGTTGGTTGGATGGTGGGAGGGGGGGGTAGGGAGGATTGGTTAACCACAAACAAGGTTGAGATCAAATTGGCCATAGGGCCTACACACACACACACACATATACACACACGCACACACACACGTACACACACCCCCACACAGACAGAGAGAAACTATTTCCGAAGCTTTCTTGTGATGTTAAGCCTGACACCGTCTTGCCTTGTGTTGCGCAGTGAGGAAGGCCTCTCATCTACCTCGGAAGTTGGCCCCACGACATCCAGTGTAAAGGAGGGCGGCGAGGCCCCCAAGACCGGACTCACAGCCCCCTCGGCCCCATCGGCAGACGCCACAAGGCAAGATCAGAGGTAAAAGTCGCGGGCAGCCAGCCTCGGACTCCTCACGCACACACAGCAATCTTACACCTGATCCATAACCTTTTACGTTGGGAGGATGTCTCAAA